TCTAAAAACCATATACGTTGCTGCTGTCGTCTTTCTCTTATCATGCATTAAACAATCAGTTAGTAAGCGCTTGTTCTGTTCATTTTTTGTCCTGTCCTTGTCCTTTGCGCTTTTGTAATTAAGACGAATACACGTGACGAGCGCTGCGCTCGTTACGTGTGCTTCTGCTTCGTCGTAGTCTGTTTTTTCCCGCTGTTTCCTACGATGAATTTTCACCGACGCGCCCAACTATCCATTCTTCCATGATAGCTGCAGAGCCGTATTAGCCCCGAGAGCGAACACATGCGTCGCTGCGGTCGCCGCGCCCTGATTGGGTGAGGCGTACCGTGACGTCAGGGGGAGGACTCCGCTCCGCGATTTCGCATCGGCTCGCTTCCCAGCACCGGTTTCCTGGTTTGGCGTTGTGTGCCGCAAGCTCTTCGAGGAGCTGGACTTCGTTTACCCGGTGTAGATGACGTTTAGTTAGGCCGGTATTGACGTGCTTCCGTACATTTTATAAGCCTGCTTCCTTTAAAATTGGATTACAAATCCCGAAAGCTATCGTCGGAGGCAATTCCGCCGATGAACCTCCCCGTCCGTCCACACGACACAAGGCAATCTTGCGAGGGGTCGTAGAAGCGGTGGCGCAAGTGTCTCAGACTCTGGAATTCTGTTCCTTGCATGTTCATGATTTAGGACGATATTAGATCCCACTTTCAAGGCATTTGAAGTGGCATTTATATCATGGGCCTTTGAGTGGTCGGCAAATTAGCTCGCGACCCCGACTCTGCGCTTCCACTCTGCATGCGCTGGTTCGCAGACGTTTTAAAGGCCCTGCGTCTGATGATCTTTGAAGTGCTCGTGGAAAAGGGCTGTTTTACGTAAATGTAGCTTCTTCGTGAATTAATTATATAGTTTATACATGTATGCAGGCATATTTCTTAGAAGATGCACAATTACTGAAAATTAGTTTGTATGGTAGCAGCAAAAACGGCCGTATTCCCCCAGTTGGCTTTATGAGATGTATTGAACTGCCCAAAATATGCACAGCAATAGTGCTGTAATTTTGAATGTTTATACTTTTTCCTGACATTCTTTATTCCAGCCTTGGGTATTAAAAAATACACGGTTTAGTCTGAATTGTCGTTTCCAATTAAAACAGACTGCTACAGGTCCCCAAAAGCTTCCTCAGCCTCCAAACTCCCTACAGCTGGACTCTCTGACAACAGAGCAAAGCAGGAGTAAAAACAAGCATTCGAACGTCTGTCCAGCGGTAGATGCAGCAATGGTAGCAGAAAATGTGGAACCTGTGAAGGGCGACAGTCTGCGTGAGAAAAGCTTCTGGTATTTTAGCTTCAGGACACTTCGATTTAAGTAAAATCTCAATTTTACCTTCGCTTACGTTTGTTATACATTACTTGAGGGTTGATATAAACAAGTCAACAAATATCACCCGTGTAGTCCTTTGAAATACTATCCGGATCCAGCAAAGATTAAATGCGAGCAATGTATATAATAAATGGTCCTTGCCCTTTTTTTTACTTTGCTCCTGCACTTGGGCTGTCTCACTTGTGATTCTCTCCCCATGGCCCAGACTGTATTTAGCATGTTGCTCGAGGAACATGCAGCTTTTCTGCTTCGGCGATCTTGTTTAAAAACAGAGATACAAAAGAAAAATAGTATAAATAACCTGCCAATTTATTCAGACCATCAACAGTATTTATTGTGCGAGATGTAAATCTATATTGATGCTCCTGCAATTGTGGCCATATTTCTTTATTTTCATATACCAGCTGCGATTCATGCGTTGCCTGCCCTGTCAACATGCTCAAAATGTTGGTTGAAGTTTCGCCTGCAGCTACAGGCCATACCTCAATATAAAAACACATATGAAAATTTACACTTCTAACGAAAAACACGCACGAAAAAGTTAAATAGAAACGAGCGCGCCGACAGCTAGCGTCGTCACAGCCTCCACAGGGCGAGCGGGGCGAGTCGGGGAAAAATTCTCTCCTCGCCGTGACGTCACCCCGGTTCGCCGTAAGGGGGCGCCACGCGAACTTCTCGGGGCTATATAGAGTTTGACCAGTGGGTGTGGCGACGAAGGCGCCGGAGAGGAGAAAAGTAAATGAGAGGGAGGAGAGCGCCGAAGGAGCGAGAGAGAAAGAAGGGAGCAGAGAGGAGACGACCGCCATTTTTGAGCAACGCTGTCGGAGACTGGTCGGAGGAGAGCACTGCTGAGGCTACGCGTCGTCTGCCACGGGCCGACTTCTTTTTCGCCTGAATAAAACTTTGTGGCCATACGCCGGAAAATCTTCGTTTATTAGGTTTTTAACCCACAGAGGAATAACAGAATGTCATTTTCTTGCCAGAGCCAGCGATATAAAAGGCAATAATCGAGATTTAGATGCCGATCCTACGCATTCCGCCGGGAAAATGATCGAAGATGGCGGCCCTCCCCACTCAAGTGGGAGCAGCCGGGAGTTCACGCGCATGCGCTCATGCCTCTTGCTCTACGCCGCGTGCTGATTGGCTCACTTGGGAGGAGAGCGTTACGGCGGCGAGATGACCAAACTCTCCCCATATACGGCTCTGGATAGCTGGAAAGGTTGCCGCCATCTACGAGTGACGGCGGTAACTAGGGGTGTTGCGAACTTTTGTCGAACCGGATTTTTAGGTCGACCTTTTGGGGTTCGACTGGGTCGAACCGGTTCGACGAACCTTCAAAACTTTTTACCAGATTCGACCGGTTCGACTTTGCGGACAGTGTGGCCAGACCTTGATACACGCATGTCTAGGTTTGCAAAATTAATTTTTATGCAAAGAATTATTCTATTTTATGAACAGTTGCAATTAAAAGAAACCAATTTTAGACACTGAAGACGTTAATAACTTAATTGTTTTGTACTGTATTAACTGAAAAAACCAATCAGCGGTGCCCTTAATTCATCCCTTAGCCATTACCATCCAATCCGAAGCCAACTCTCCAGCCTGTCGCGCATGCGCACACGAGTCGAACCTCAATACAAGGTTCGTCGAAATTTCCGTAAAAGGTTTGAAAAAGTCGAATCTGGTCGAACTCAAACCTCGGCCGGTTCGTAACACCCCTAGCAATAACCAGACTGGTTATGTGCTTTCCGCCGTCGCTTATAGATGACGGTGGCTGTTCAGACAGGTTTGTGTCGAAATACCGGACACGATCCTGGGGAACCTAGCCCTTAACAGCTCCGCTGAAAAGAAAGAAAAAAAAATACCATTCCATTTAGCGCTTTCTGAGCGGCACCATTTTGTTCAACAGCAGCGCCCTCTCCATACATCCAGGAAATTCAGCGGGTTTGGCTGGTTCGGCGGGGTAAAACGAGACAGACGGCACGCGCCCGACTCCGCTAGCAGACGACAAACCGGGAGGTTGTCATTCTCCATCTTTGGGCTGTACCGGCGGGCTGTACGGAACATCGAACCCTCGCTCGTGGCTGCCGTTGTGAAATGGTTCGCATTCTTAGAATAGTTATGGCTACTCCAAAATCTGCGCAGAGCTCTGTTGTTTTACTTCGGTAAATGATCAACTGACATATCTTTCTTCCGTTACTTAAATAGTAGTTGAGTCAGCCGGCAGTACTACCCTCAACTACTGCGTGTATTGCGGCCGGATAGCACGTTTTAGAGCGCAGCTCTTAGGCGCCCGTTTCCGGCTTGAGCGGCGTCGCCGTCGCTGTCGGCGTAACCGCGCGGTGCATTATGGGTAAATTTCCCCGCTAAATCTAGCGGAAAATTTCCCCGCTAAATCTAGCGGAAAAAATTTCCCCGCTAAATCTAGCGGAAAAAATTTCCCCGCTAAATCTAGCGGAAAAAATTTCCCCGCTAAATCTAGCGGAAAAAATTTCCCCACTAAATCTAGTGGAAAAATTTCCCCGTCAAATCTAGCGGAAGAAATTTCCCCGCTAAATCTAGCGGAAAACTTTCCCCGCTAAATCTAGCGGAAAAAATTTCCCCGCTAAATCTAGCGGAAAAATTTCCCCGCTAAATCTAGCGGAAAATATTTCCCCGCTAAATCTGGCGGAAAACTTTCCCCGCTAAATCTAGCGGAAAACATTTCCCCGCTAAATCTAGCAGAAAACATTTCCCCGCTAAATCTAGCGGAAAAATTTCCCCGCTAAATCTAGCGGAAAAATTTCCCCGCTATATCTAGCGGAAAAAATTTCCCCGCTAAATCTAGCGGAAAACTTTTCCCGCTAAATCTAGCGGAAAAAATTTCCCCGCTAAATCTAGCGGAAAAATTTTGGTCACGTGACCCGGGGGTCACGTGACCTGTGGAGTTACGTGACACCCCGAGGTCACGTGACCCCCTCCCGAGGTCACGTGACCTCTGAGGGGGCACGTGTTTGCCCCCACGTGACCCCACCAAGGCCACGTGACCCCCCCCTCCCCGAGAACACGTGGCCCTCAGTACCCTCCCCTCCTCCTCCTCAAGAGCTGCACTCCAATTCGGCGTTACAGGGAGTGGTAAACGACTTTCACTTTTTTTTTTATATTTCAGACTTCCACTCATGGTCGCGAAAGGCCTACACCAGTACAAACTTTGTATAGTAAAAAAGGTACAGCAACCAGATTTACTTTTCGCCGGAGAGACCGGCCGATCTGACACAGTTTTCCCAATTTCTTTTTTATTTGCACGCAGGCAACAGCACAATTGGACCCTGTTAGTCTTTTTATCTAGCATAGTACTACACGATAATCTGCGCATCGGCGCTTGAAATTTCCAAAATGACGCGATTTTAAACAGAGTTTGCACGCCAGTCGGATGCTAGGTACAGCCCACTCGGTGGAGCAGACAACATAAGGGGTGAGAGGGGGAGGGCACTTTTTCTCTCTATTACCCTCTCTGCTATGACCCTAATGGGCCCTCACTCGTTCACACCAATACTGTCGTGCTATGCAGTACATGCTAATAGCATTTAGTATGTGGCAGCATGATGGCTCCTGAGATACAAGCTTAAAATATATGACCAGAAACTCAAAGGTACAATGTTTGGCATTTTTTATTTAAGGCATAAAAATTACAAAATAGGCCATATACTACAGATACGCAGAAAAAAAAGATGTGTTTTTTCCGTTTTGTCGCATTCAGACGAAACAACGCAACACTAAACCAAAACTCTTGCAGCCTAAATTTTAGACTACTTTACTCCATTACACTTATATTAAACGAAAAACAATGTTCTGAAATTGCCCTTTTAGGTTGTTCCAAAAGATTCTTTGGGTAAAAAGAACTAACTAAAAGTAATTCCACAACAATGTTTCCAACGGGTGTAATCTCGTGACACATGAACCTGTCTGACAAGTTGCCACTAGAAAGTCCCGCAATCCTCGAAACACTGAGAAAAAAAAAGGGCAAAACAAGTGTGCCAGCTTAGCAGAGTGCCAACACGAATGGAAGTACCCTATTCATTATCTCGGTCGTCCAGGCACCTTTTCCGAACAAGGCCAGAGCGTCCATAGCCGGCACAAAATCATCGCAGGACAAGCCTCGGCAATGACGAGGCCGATAAAGCACCTTCAAACGATCAGGCCATCTGCACCGTGACGACGGACATGTTTTGCATGCCGAAAATCCGGCACAAATATTTTGCAATAGACGCTTTGCTGACCCCACCTTTTGCAATGCTCATGTGTAGATTGTAATGAATTCTTTGTGGGAAACAGATGCACTGGCACCGTTCACAAAACTGTGTGCAAATCGAGTCAAACCGGGAGGTAAATTATAATGTAGAGTACGATTTGCAAACAACCCGTGCCTAGACATCATCTAAATATCCGAGATACTTCACCAACATGCTTGTAGCCATTCACAAACTTAACGAGCTTTCTCTGCGGAGCAAGTCCAGACGTCTTTCAAACAGTAAAAACGAAGGGCTTTGCCAAAGGCGTGCAAAAACCGATCTGCGTTATATTTGGGGAGAAATACTGCGAAAATAGCGAGAAACACTGAATTACAAAGTACCCCACTAGTTTCTTTATAGTGGCCACCATTTTCAGCAGAAACAACCGACGAGACTCGCCCCGTGGCAGCACCCTGTCGCGTGCTCCCGCCTGTCGCAGTGTGGACGGACCAAGAAGACCGAGACTCCTCGAACAATGAGAAACACCTCACTGTACCACCATAGATCTCACTGGGCTGAAAACTTCGCTGGATGCCACTCTAGTAAATTTTGTCACCCCAAGCGGCGCCGATGCAAGTAAGTGAAAAAAAAAAGAGAAAAACAAAGTAAAAGTTTATAAAAAGTCTCGAAACATTTCAATAATTGTTCTGAAGCAGATGTAGGACCCATCACGTGGCATTTCAATTATTTCAAAATAATGCGACCCCTAGGCCTCGAGTACGGAAGACATTCCCAATTGTCTGTCTTTTCGATGGGTACGCGGGGTTTTATGAAAGAACAGATCTGTCCACGGTGGCTTCTCCGAAAGCACGCCCATCCAGTAGGTTCTCCGAGCCATTTGATTGGTTGACTCTCAACATTGGCAGCACGCCACAAGCACTTTGATTTGTCTCTAGGAAAAACTTTCCCTCGGTGTAAGGAAAATATTCCAGACCAGGTGACCTAGGACCGCAGTATTGCCAACATGGGAGACTTTGTGGTGTCGAGGCCATGAGTCCTTCACACATAAAAGTGTCTCCGAGCACCTGGGATGGGATGTAGAGAAGCGATCCAAGAGAGCTTCAGTTTGCTTCGCCCTAACGTGGACAGCTAGAAAAGTTACAGTCGTGAGGTCATACTGGGGGCACGTGTATCGGTTGCAAGAATGCTCGTGGGACAATGGTACCCCTTAAACAATCATGACAAGAAAGCTTCGGCGCACGCTAAGACGGGATCGAGTATAATAGAGATTACTCCTAATGCAAAACGCGTTGTCACAGTCACGAGAAGGCGTTTCGACGTCGATGATTTTACCTGCCGAGCACGTCGAGCATAAACTGTCGCACGAGTTTGCGCCACCCGGAGAACAGATCATACATACATTTAATGCTAGGAAATTTAAACTCGCGATTCCCGACCAATGGGCAGAAACACACAGCGTGACTGCTGAAAGCAAAATCTCTCGTACCATAGTCAGTGTAAATAAATCCCCTCGATGCGCTTGCCTTACAAGTAGCGTCAAATGCGCACGAGGCTTGTGCCTTGCACGGCCCTTGGAAGCAAATGGAGGCAATGCACCGAAATGAGCAGCCCTAGGAAATGAATGGCAGCGCAGACCCTGCTCATGGTATGTGTCTCGCGTGTTTGCAGAACAGTGGTTTGCAGTACTTGTAAGGAACGCGAAGCATGAATGTTATTGAAGGGCTTAAGGAGTAGATGGCGAAGAGGGATATGTCCGGCATTCTTTGGAAAGAGCAAGCTCCAGTCTGGCAGGCACCCTCTGCGCGGTTTCTTTCTCTAGAAACCGCTCAATTTGAGTTGGTGAGGCAACGCGAGGACTCAACCGAAATTGGGCACCCTGATTGGAACGGTGGCAATCGGTTCATCAAACGACGTTTCACTGACAGATCATTTCCTCGACACGCAATGTCTCCTTGACAGATTGTTTCATCGACAGATTGTTTCACCAACAGGTAGTTTCATCGACAGATTGTCTCGACACTTTAGATTACCTTCTTAAAGCGGTAGCTTTATAGGCCCAATCACGCTAAAAATTATGTACTCAGCCTCAAGGTTATGTCCTCAAGGTCACGTAATCAAGGTCATGTAATGCCCGCGGTTGAAGTGCAAGATCGCATAATCAAGGTCGCGTAAGCTCCGATCACGTAACCACCGGTCGCGTCAGCCTCGGCAGTTGAGGCTGACGTGACTTGATGTCCTCGACGTCGTCTTTGAGGTTGTCTTTCAGGTCGTCCTAGGGGTCGTTCTTGACATCATCCTCTAGGACGTCATCCTCGACATAGTCCTAAACGCCATCCTTGACGTTATCCTCGACGCCATCTTAAACGGAGTCCTCAAGGTTGTCCTAGAGGTAGTCCTAGAGGTCATCCTAGACGTCGTCCTTCAGGTCGTCCTAAGGGTTGTCTTGGACGACGTTCGAGATGCCGTCCTAGACGACATTTGAGACGCTGACCTTGATGTCATCCTTGATGTCGTCCTAGACGCTGTTCTTGATGTTGACTTTGATGTGTGCACGGCATACTATTACAATTATTTCCTCACCATATAATTTCCTTTCCTAATTGTTTTCGCTAATGACGCTCTGTAAAGCTACCACATTTCATCTCATTTGGTTGAAGGAATGTGCCTGTAATTTTATGTAATGAGCCGCCTCAGACTTTCGCGGACCAGCGGCATGCACGGGTGAGCCAGGTGGGTTAACAATTTTGTAAACAACCGCGGCAGACTGTTGCCACGAAGTGGCATGAGCGGGTGGGCCGGGTAGATTAACATGCGTTCTGGGGATTTGCGAGCGACAAAATACTCCCTACAACGTGCAATTCGCGTCACAAGTGTTGACGAAACTTGTGTCCGTGAAACGTGTGTCTACGAAAAGTCTACGAAACAGGTTTTGAGGAAACGACAGGGACCCCGCAGAGGGTACTGGCTCCCCTTAAAGCCGCTTTCCAACACCTCCCGCTCTGGACGACTGCAAGCCACTCGAGAGTGTGCCACCTTTCCGGCAGCTTCCTCTACAATTGAAGGGGCCAACTGAGCGACGCCGGACGAGTTAATTTTGGAATGCGATCAACGCCTTCTAGGTGCCTTAGGGCCGAATTTCCACATGTCACCAAAGATGGCCACCGTACGACATAGGTGGGATGCAACTGCTGCTGCACTCGGATGACGTCTAGGATGACCTCTAGGACTTCATCAGCCAGGACACGAGTCGCAACCGACGCAGCACTCATGTCCAATCTGCGCCCTACGGTGGCCTACTTTAGTGACGGGAAAAAGCGAGCACCAAGACACCGAGGCGGAGCAAGAAGGACGCTGGACTGGCTCCGCGAAAGAAGCGTGCCCCGCCGTGAGGCCACCTGACTAGACCGCTGAGGATCCCGGGCCTCAGAGGCCATCGCAGCCGAAGTGGCGCTGTCCACGAAGCGTGTCTTCCTCCGAGTCCGGGTCCTCGGCCAGCCGCTGCACCAGTCCGGCGATGTCGTCGTGCACTCTGCCGGCGGCCCCGAAGCTGAGCGAACGCTCGGGGGCCCGGTCCGCGTCCCCACGCTCCAGCCGCTCCAGCCGGTGCCGCAGGGCCCCGTTGCTGTGCAGCAGGGCGTCCCGCTCATCCTCCAGCTTCCGGATCCGGTCCTCCAGGTGCCGCACTGTGCCCTGGTATGACGCCACCTGGGCCTCCAGGCGCCCCACGCTGCTCTGCGACACCTGCGCCAAGACGAAGGATCCTGTCCTTCGGCTTTTCCTACCCGCCCCTCTGTCCTCTATCCTACAAACTCGCATTTGGCCTGCATCAAGCACCGCACATGCCGTTCCACGATGCCAAGTTCATTTTATGAGGTGTGATCAAATTAAATCTGTTTGCACCCCTTCATTAACATGACCGTGTCGGCAGGTGCGCACAATTATATGGAGCAATATACAGGATCATAAGTTTTAGTGGAAACAGAATTTTCAAAATAGACTGCAAACTGTTCACTGAACGCCGTCTTTGCCAGGCGTTTCTTGGGTGCGGCGGACGTTACTCGAGCAGATAACTGCCACGATCTGTTGAGTAATTAACTGAAATATGTTAATTTTCTTATAAAGTGCAGCTCTTAGGCGCCCGTTTCCGGCCTGAGCGGCGTCGGCGTAACCGCGCGGTGCATGATGAGTAAATTTCCTTGTTAAATTTAGCAGAAAAGTTTTCCCGCTAAATTTAGCGGAAAAACTTTCCCGCTAAATTTAGCAAAAAACTGTCCCAGCTAAATTTAGCAAAAAAAATTCCTCGCTAAATTTAGCGGAAAATTTTCCCCGCTAAATTCAGCGGAAAAACATTCCCCGCTATATGTAACGGTAAAATTTTCCCGCTAAATTTAGTGGAAAAATTTCCCCACTAAACTTAGCGGAAAAAATTCCCTGCTAGACCTAGCGGAAACATTTCCCCGCCAAATTTAAAGGAAAATTTTTCCTGTCAAATTTAGCCTAAAAAATTCCCCGCTAAATCTAGCGGAAAAATTTCTCAGCTAAATTTAGCGGGGAATGTTTTCCACTAAATTTAGCGGAAAATTTTCCCCTAGATGGGAGGCAACCAGGAGAGGAGGAGGGGCATAGCCCCTTCTCCGTACTTTCCCCTCCTACTCCTCAAGAGCTGCGCTCTAATTCGGCGTTACGGGGAGTTGTGAACGGCTTTCATTTTTAATTACTGGTTTCTTGGTCCATGTTGCAACTGCAATTTTGATGTCAGCCATCGCGTGAAGCGAAACCAATTTGCACAATTAAAAAAGAACTTACGATTTCAGAGATATTCGTCGACAATTTCCCGCGTCGCTCTCCTTCATCTCCGAAAGTGGACGCTGAAAGACGGCCGAAAGGGCTGCCCACACAACGGTTGTAGGAGTGACGCTCACATGACGTGTAAATCATTATAATCTCATATCTTCAATCTTCACTGCGGTTTTCACATCGCAGCTCTTGATATGAAACCTCGCTGCGTCTGTCTTTCAACACGTCATCGCACTCGAAGCTTCGCTCTCGACTGTGAACCCACGGTAGAGAAGCCGCAATCTCGTATGGTTTTAATAGCTCGGCACTGGGCTTGCAGCCGGTTCTCTGAAGTGGGTTCTACATCAGTTTTGCCATTGAGCCGTTCTGGCAACGCTGGTTAAGATGCCTTCCTCCTCCTAACCGAAACAAATCGACAGAGGCAACCAACGTCGGAGGTCGTCGTTTTGTTGACGGTCCACTGCAGCAAATGCCACAAGCATGATAGGTCAAAGTCGCTGCTTTGGAGCGTTCCTTTCGCAGAACGAGCACTCGCGCTTGTAGCTTTGGCTGTGGTCTCAGCTTAAGGGTAAACGGAGTATAGTAGGTTTGTTCCAATTTCAGATGCCACCACCTTCCTTTGACGTACGTTCGTAAAGGTGCGAATGTAGACTCTCGTCGGCACACCAAACTTCCCTGACCGGTTTGGCACCGCACCAAGCACAGACACAGTGCACCCACCTGGAGCTGCTCGAGCAGGTGCATGTTGCGCTGGTCCTCCCCAGGTGCCCTGCAGATGGCCTGCTCCTGGATCAGCTGGTACTCCACTTCGTAGGCGCACAGCTCACGCCCAAGGTCCAGAGACAGCACCTGCGTCCCCCTTTACTTCACACCCCAGCCTGCAACGCGCCCGCCCATCCACAGCAAGGCTCGGGACTACCGCTTCAAAATATACCCAGCATAAAAGGTGTTTAGGGCAGCATGTCAGGGCCAAAGTGCTACGGTCCGGCGTAACAAAAAGCCATCACATGCGGACAAAGGCAACCTAGAACAGACGTAGCCCCATTGCAAGCGACATGCGAGCATCAGAAACAAATCAAATCATACTTAGTCATATTTAATCGTACCTAATAGTAATTAGCGAAATTTCTTGAGCGGTACAGCAGGAATCGAACTCCGCACCATGCGACGCTTTTGCTTGGCGTCAGGAGGAGGAGGCAGACAGCAGCGGCTAAATTTAGTGTGACTCAATGAAGCCTGCGGTAGCGGGTGACAGTCGGCGCATGCAGCTCCGAATGAACAAGTGCAGCTTCCCAAGTCACCTCAAGATGTCGTGGGTTCTGTGTATATTTTAACTTTCTTAAAATGACGAAAATTTTGGCCAGTCGGTACGATAACATAATGGAGAAAAACAGCGCGAAAAGACGACGGACAAAGAATAAGAGCTGACGAGACACAGCACTGGAAAACTCAGTCAGCAGCGCACTCAGTCAACAGCGCATTCAGCTTCCATGCCGGTGATCGGGGTTTGATCCCTGGTACTGGTTGCCATATTTTTTCCAAATCGCGGTTATGGACAGACCGACCCACACGTTTCGTGCTTACGTGGCTCCTAAGGTTGGTTTGTCCTATAAAGCGGCCGCTTTAAAAAACTTCAATCCTCCGGCAGGATTTGAACTTACCACCTTGAAATTGGAGCCAAGTGATGTCAGCGCTCAGGATTTGCCACATCCTGCTCCTGTTATGAGCCCCGTGGTCTCATGGCCACCACCGCTCCATTGCCCGGTGCAGATGGAGTGCAACTACCAACAGCCATGATTCCAAAATTCATCTCTCTGAGCTTCGGACGCGTCATCGAGAAGCTCAGGCAACGTCGTTTGACTTGGTCGCAAACTGTCTAAATCTTCCTAAAGAAAGTGTTCCCCACCATCTCAGAAAACAGCTTGGACAACTGGCAACAATGATTCTAGGATGCTTACGGGCGCGGTGTCCGGGAAGCGCGAGTGTTTGGCAGCTCACCTGGGCAAAGAGTGCCTCCATCTGGTGGAGGGACAGGGAGGGCAGCCCACTCTTGAAGCAGTCCATGATGGCCTCAAAGCTGGAGCAGGCCATGAGTTGTGCGGAGAAGACACCCAGCAGGGAGAGGGCCACCTTGAACACCGCCTCTGCCCCTTGCAGGAAGATCACGTCTGCAGAGAGGTGTAGTCCCCACTCGCATCTGCCCAGACTACAGCCACCCCTTGGCCATCGCTTTCGACTGATGACCCCTCCCTCCCGGTGTTGCTGCCAAGAGAGCAGCAGAGAAGACCTCAGACCTTGTGGGCAATAATTCACACACTAGGGAGCGGCACAAATTGACGCATCAGAGGGTGGCTCAGAGCTGCTAAAACAGCGCTTAAACTGGAGAAACACTTTGCTTACAACCAGGAACCATTGAGGAAATTTAGGAATCCCTGCACTCGTTGCACACGTAGCATATCCATAAACTAGCAAACGGGGGGGGGGGGGGGGGGGGGGTTGCGAAATAGCAGTGTCAAAGCTGGGTTGCGTGACTGCAAGAGACGCCAACTTTGCATTCCACTCCTGCTGGAACGCTAACATTTGCAGGGCTATGTTTCAGAGATAACTGCACTATGACATTTGTGCAATCGAGCCATAAAATGTGCACCAAGTTCATCTGTGAACATCACTGCAAAGCAACACACGATATGTTCTGTATTACCATTGCCTTTGCCACCATAGTTCGGGAAAGGGGAGGATTATTCGGTAATCAATCTGGCAATTATCTCCTTATTATGGTACCTCAATGTCTATCGTGTTAATGTTATGTGGGAAAAAAAGAAAATTCATGCAGCACCCCCGAAAGAATTTAGCGTCTTTTTCGTGACAAAAATTAACTATGACTCGTATAATGCTTAGTATCTGCCCAAATGTCGCGCTAGCGATTTGGACTAGATGCCAAGGTCTTAGAACAAACTGTTATCTTATCGAAAAGTTATAAATGATTTTCAGAAACCTTCAACAGGAAAATGGAGCTGCTTCTCGGTAGCCGACGCCATTCATCTCAGAACATTCGTCGGTTTCGTCAACTGCCATTTCTCTCATTCAAAAATTTCTGAATTTCACGTGTAACTTTAGAATGAGATCACATCAAGCTCTGAAATGTTGGCGTCTGGTCTGTATCGCTAGAGCTACAATTGGGCGGAGACCTAGCTTTGGTCGACGCATGGTTTATTTTTGTGGTGAGATGCCCTAACTTTTAGGGGGGACGCCCCCTACTTAAAGATTCTTTCTATGGTTTCCCGGGGTCAAGGCCGAGAAGCGCACTCACCAAAGAGCCGCGAAACGAAGCCCAGGGGAAACTGGGAGGCGAAGAGGGTGAGGAACCAGGGAGCGGCAAAGAGAGCTGGCCCCACGTCGTACTTCTCCAGATGGACGTACAGCTCCCGCTGGTGGTCGTGCAGCAGGCGGTACAGCTGGTACAGCTCCACCTGCACCACACGTCGGCACGCTTCAGAGCACTCGCCACAGCCCTGCACAGCTCACCACCTTTTGTGTAGCATTGTGAGTTCCCAAACCGAGCTCCCTACGAACAAAGGAGTTCCCCGAGCCCCCAGATTTGCCTGGCCATCTCTGCCATCAAGTGTTCTCCCAGTCATTGTTTTAGCCCACATCAGCCACCCACCGCCGCATAGCTGTGAGTCAAACGCTCACTAACGTACCGTTTACGATGTCCGTCTGCCGCGCCTGATGGCACCGATGTCGATACCGGGAGGAATTCCTCGGGTCGAGGAAGGTGGAAGTTCCTTGAGATTGAAAGGTGCCCCTGGTCTAGTTCATCCACCCTAACCTGTTCCCCTCTTGCCAGTTGGCAATGGCGCGCTCTGCCTTGGAGCCGTAAATCACCCTCCGACATCGCTCCCCATAACTAGGGTGCAGTTGGTCGTGGCAAGAAGGCCTTCCTTACGTCGTGTCTGAGGCCGAGCTGGTATTGGTATTAACCCTTTGACGGTCGTCGCCATGCAAGCACAGTGGCGATAACAGTTTGAATGTGCCACTTAAAGGCGAAACCGCGTGCACCGCAGGAGGTGTTTCTATTCGTTACATCTCTGGAGAAGTACAAAAGTTATATTCCCATGGTACTTCGCTTTGCTGGGGCCATATGAAATTACACACTTCGCGCACATGATACGCACACAAGACGAGCACTCACGTGTCCACTGCTCTGACTGTAGTGGCAATTAAAGCACCGGCTTTCCGATTCAGGCCATTTGACGCTTTTCTGAGTTCAATTCAGAGGACGAGAGCTCACCATCTGATGGAGAAGCTCTGTAAAGTACCTCTGGTTCGGAATCCGAAACTGCCTCAATGTCGCGGAAGGAGATGCACCAAAATGAAACCAAATGATGGAAAGGTGACAACTTTTTACCTTCAATAATTCCATTCTATGATTCTAAACCTGAACAGCTTGTAAGCACTGTATATGCTCCTGCTAGATAAGTCAGAAAAAGAAACCTGCGCATTGACCCTTCCTTCATACTATTCCTTTAAAAACCAAATCCGACTGCCGGGAAACACACCTCGAAAAAATTCAACCGTCAAAGGGTCAAATTGTTTGCCCTTGGCTATACCCCGGATGAGATCCCAACGACAGCGATTCCTCGCATGACGCACGGTCAGCAGGAGGCACGAGCGAGCGATCGAACCATGACGGCCCGATTAACAATGCCACTACTTTCGAATTGATTGGAAATACGTTCTTAATCCTTGAATAGTTCAGAAAAGAGCTAATGGCTTGCGAGCCTCTAGGGAAAGGGATGGGGGTGGGGAACGAGTATGAAGGGTACTGCATAGAATGCTGTTTCAAGGGCCCACTTCATGCATGAAGCGAAGTTTTGCAGTTAACGCAAGAATGCAAGCAAGCTGGTTAAGAACTGACATTTCTTTTTAGATTCAAGTTGTCCTATCTCTTTGTTTCACCACTCTCCACGATTAAAAATGCAAGTTTTATAATCATTTTTGGAAGATGCACTTCATCGACGCTGGACAGTCCAGCACGTCTTTGTTGGGCGGCACCAAGTACTGCCGACTACCAAACCGTCTGCAAGCTGCGGTTTGTGAGACATCTGCGCGCCCGCTTCCTTCCCGAAGCATTAGTTGTCACGCCCCCCCCCTTTTTCAAGGGGCAAGCTATAAATTTTCAAAAAACGCGTCGAGCAACCGCTTACCCCCTTCAAAACCATCCGCTGAGAAACACTTGACCCCAAGCACCCATTCTTCCTGAATGCCGACGTAGTGTACACTGATGCAACAGAAAGGTGCCATCGCATCGGCCCAGTCTTTATCAGTATTGCAGAGTCGCCAGTCCGGAGTCGGAACGACTCCAGGATCATTTTGCGCCAAAGAAGATAATAAATAGCGTGCAAACCACAAAGACCAAAGTAGTAGAAGTAGGCAGGATAAGCGCTGACAACTGACGATTTTTTAACCGAACGGAAAACTAATGCAACAACCACAGCAAAAATTTTTTTCAAAGCTCACTAAATAAACACAAACACTAAAAATAACCTTGCAACCACTAGCAAAGAAGGTGAAAATATGCAGGTGAGCCAGTGAATTAACTCTATAATGAAAAAAACCAGACTGGGAAAAATTAAGATACTAATGGAAAAATACACACTCCGTCTCAAAACACGGTTGTGTTTTAAGATGGTGAATATACAGGGAAAATTGACAGATTTGTTGCTGCTCCCTGCCGACGCGACTTGCCTACGAAGAGGGAAGCCGGGAAAGGTGGCGCCTCCTGCACTATCTGCTGCAAGAACGGCTGCTTGGAGATCGCCTGCCTCGAGCGGAAGCAGCCGTCAGCCCCCTGCAGGTTCCATCAAACCACTAGCCGACAAAAAACGCACCGAACACATCGACGGCTTGCACTCTCCTTCCTGGTGGGCTCCAGTGTCGAGGTTTCTGTCGTGCTCGCAAATTTCCTGGCGTTCTTTCTAAGCATCAATCAAATTAAATGCAAGGTAGAATTGACCGAAGTGACGGGTGTAACACAAAATGAAGTGTGCAGTGAATGAAAAAGAAGAGGAAAGACCACAAAGGGCCTCACCTGCAGGGCCAGCATGTCTGGCTTGTACTGCTTCCGAAAGCCCAGATGGAACAGAAAGTGCTTCATCATCTCAAAGGCCTCTTCCTCGGTCATCTGAAACGAGGAGATTTCATGAAGGCTGTGCACGTCTGCCCACTTCCCCTCGGGGGACGACTCCTTTAGAAGGATTCGTGGAACAAAGATAACATTTAGTTTCTCAAGCTGTAGTTTGGAGAAATTGAGCTTCGTCACAACTACCGTAACTTCGAAACTAACTAAACTTCTTCGGACTTTATTTTTAGCTTTTTTAGATTAATTTTAACCCATCCACACCAGATATTTTATTATTAAAGCACCGTGGTCGGAATTTATTCTCAGGCTGGCTACTTTATAGGGTGGTTTCAAGTGACATATGTACTTCTGGCTTGAAACCTCACTAGACGCCATGTTGATTAACTTTTGCTCTATTGTAATATCTCGGGCCATCACCAATCCCCGAGTCACTGCCCACCCCACTTATTGGGCAAAATATAAACTTTATAAAGAACACCGAGTAATCGCCCACCCCTACAAATACTTCAACGCAGATCCCGCGATCTGCAAGCGCTCATCGTCCCCGAATGTTGCAACTGTGGAATGTATGAGCAGAGGGTGCCCGTCACAAAGTGAAACAAAAGAGAGTAAGGAATTTCACTTTGTTCACAGGCATATCCTCCCCGCTTTCTGCAACCCCAAAGTCAAAGCACATTTATGTGAACGAAAAACAATGGCAATTAAAGAATAAAGCTGCTTGGAGGCGGGCAGGCGTTCGCGCACTTGCGCACCTTGAGCATTAACCAAAGCTATGTACGGGCACTCCTCGCTACCGAAATCCCCCAGAAAGTCGACCCCTAGAATACAAGTTTTGTCGCTCGTCACCAACTTAGTGTAACGCATACTCCCTCAGACAGAACCACTGAACCCGCAAAGCCATCGTGTCGTCTGCTAGCAAGGCAAAACCGGTTGGGAAACTTTATGATGAGCTTTTATCATTGTTTTATGGCACTGAGACAATAGAAAAAAGTCTTCGTGATTATAGACATTGAGAAGACACAATGCTTACGAAAAATTAACAACTTCTTTTATCAGGCAAATTCTAACCTCACATTGAGCCCCCTGCATCTGCCCTAGCAATGGTTCGTTTCGAGCACAGCGCCATGTTGCGACGTCATCACTTACGGGGTCAATGGGGGGCATGCGCGAACTACAGGGGGCGCTTCTCTAGTTATCTTCATTATTGTTTGTGATGTAGCAGGTAGGACAGAGATCAGACGACAGAGTTGATTCCTCAGCTCGTCAGCTCGCCTTGTGCATTGTTTCCGCATTTCTCGCCTTTCTTGCACATTTTTTCCTTTTTGTTTTTGATGGAATGACATTTGTTGCAAGACATTTCATGGAGTGCCCTAAAAACAACATGTCAAGGCAGCTGGTTGTTCCAATGGCCCGAGTTCAGTTGTCGAAGCATTCCTTACAGGCATTCCCACCGGGTGTGGCATTCTCAACACACAAACATGCCACGAGCACCCACCATCACTCTTGCCGTTGAACTGTCAATCTGAGCTGTTGCACTGTCTGGACTGTTGGCACGGCCGAGAGAGCCGCCAGTGCTGCTGTAGGCCCGGTTGCAGCCTATGCCACAAAGTCTCTAGCTTTCTGGGTAGATTTTCCGGTAGATGCGTAGCTAATTCCCGATCAAGCCAATGAGTGCAGGGCAGTTGACTTTTCAAGCCCCCCCCCCCCCCCCCCCCCCCCCCCCGACCGTCCTTCCCCTCACGCCAGGAGCCCCCCAGAGCACCCTGGTGGGTTCCCAAGCTCACAAATTTTCTCGACCGCCTCCATTCCTCCCAGCCCTACTCTGGCAGACATGAGTTCCTCAATCGCTCATAGCTATAAGCCAGGCACTCTAGTATTATGCGGTGTGCAATTTCGTCTGCTTCTCTTGCGAAGAATAGTGGGTAGACCTCAAAGTAAACCGCCCTGAGGTCTACCTACTATCCTTCTATCGGAGTCAATCAAAAGCTCGGCGTTTTGACGTCACCAGAACCCCTGCAAAAGAAGCAGACAAACTTGCTTTTTGCATTGGCTACAGGTCTGTAGACTCAAACACCAGCCGAGTGTGCCGGTGCCGAGAGCAGGAGAACCCAGAAGAAAGAAGAAGGGACGCACGTGCAGCAGCAGCACCCCCGCGACGAAGCTGAGTCCCTGGCAGTAGCCGACCTGGGGGTCCAGCAGGGAGTAGGCCTTCAGCAGGTTGAACAGAGACAGCTGCCCGGGCCCCAGGCACTCCCGGAAGAACGGGTGGGACGGGAACGTGCGCCCTGCAGGGGGGCGGGCAGGGGTCAATGCTCTGCGGGGAGGGCCCCACTTTTCTGACGTCCGACTGGAAGTGCCTCCTAGATTGGAGGAGAGCAGCCCGGGTTTCCGCTTTGCGTTCCCTTCCGTGCGGGAATTTCCGCCCTCGCATCCCATCCATGGTGTGCCTGTCGCAATGCGCCTTGTCCGCAAGAGAAAATGAAACCTTGCCTTTTGACTCGCACATATTAACTAAACTTGGCAGAGAGCTGAAACTTTGTGCGAACATGTCGCAAGCAATGGGTGGACGGATGGATGTTAATGGCTGTACCCTGTATAACAGACAATAGCTTGCGTCACCTAGCCTAAAAACTAACACGAAAATATGCAACTTGTCCACCCTCTTGCCCACTTAAAAGGGTTAGGAGATGCCAAAAAAAAAGAAATAACTATATTGCTAGGACCCATTATATGTTCTTATATTCCCACAAAATTTGTTTCGAAACTGCTGCGATAGTATCGTGGATAAATCGATTTATGTGCGGGACCCTCAGATCCACCCCATCCGGGAAGGCCGCCATGTTTATTGGGTCGATGACGTCAGCCGTCAAAAGCACAGCGTCCCCTGGCACACACTCGCAGACTTGGCTCTCTCGCTGTCTCTTGCTTCAGCTTTCAAACACAATGTTTCGAGACGACGGCGTTATCGTTCGCTTCGTCGGAGTTCTCAACACTGATCGCAGCAGCGACAAGACTGACTGTTATCAAAAGACGTAGGAAGCTGATCATTTTTGCTTATACCCAGATAGCGACCAGCTCCAGCGACAACGGCAAGATTGTCACAGACAAACTCGCCGTCACCATTGTCATTTTCATGTCTTTGGCAAACTGTGCTGCCTTTGGCAAACTGTAAACGTTAAGTCCGTGCAGTGTCTTATTTTCCTGGGACTACCGTAATATCCCGAAAGGTGCCCCATCCCAGGAAAATAACCTGCCCCCTATTTTTGGCACAATTTGCTATTTTTACAAAAGCACCGAAAGGTAGCCCACTTTCAGTAATTGCAGGGCCCTGGTCGATGATGACCTCAGCGGAAACGGTGTTACTTAGCCACAGCGGCACTAAGCGAACATTGCTCACTGGGAAGGACAGTCGTATTTGGTTCATCGCCCCTCCCTATGATCACAAGTTTCGCAGGTCAAAAAATCTAAAACTGGCATTTTTTCAACTTCTTTTGATCGCACACCGAAAGTAAGCCCACTCCTCATTTTCACACAATCTGCTTTTGATTTTACGGGGGCTATACTACGATATTTATAGTCTTGAAATCAGACGTTCTGCGCACGTCATGTGTGCGAAACGGTCGCTTCACGCGTCGGCTGCTCCGGCAGTAGTGGCAATTGAAGCGCCGGTCCTTCCAATTCAGACTGTTTAATGCTTCCGAGAGTTGAATTCAGAGGATGAAAGCATACCATCCAGTGGAGAAGCTCCGCAAAGTACCTCTCGTTCTGAATCTGAAACTGCCCGAATGTCGTGGAAGGAGATGCGCCCAAACAAAGCCCAACAAAAGAAAGGTGACAAGTTTCTACCTTCAATATTTCCGTTTGATGTTTCTAAACTTGAACAACTTGCAAGCACTGCACGTACTTCCTCTAGATAATTGAAAAAAAAAAAAACCCGAGCATTGACGACTGGAAGGCATCTTTCCAAAAAAAAAACAACAACTAGACTATCAAAGGTTAAAAAAATGCATAGCAAATGGCTGGGCAATTAATTGTTGCACGTGTTGCACGTGAAACGTGTGGTGTCTAAGCTCTCGGCACTTCTCGTCGGTTAGTTTAACGCGTGGCGTGTACACTCAACGGCAGTTCCTGGAATGGAGATACCGGCGCTAACCCAAAGTTTTAAAAACATGCGACAGGGTGTCAAGTTTCTATCTGCCGGACGCAGGACAGATGCCCCACAAGGCTTTCCTGCCAAGTAGCACCTCAACTCATGGCGATAAGTGTCGTGACACGCTGGAAAGACCCTCGCTTAATAATCTAAATGGTCTAGGTTCGTATCCCGCCTGGCACAAAAGCTTCTTTTTTACTGTGATGGCCTCTTTCCCCCCCTCTCAGAGCCCATCAGAGCCAAGCTTTGCAGCCACGCTTTCATCAGGGCTTCACGAAACGCTAAATGCCTAGCCAAAGAATGTTTCACGATTAAAGTTTCTTGAGAGTTGAGTGTCCCTCTCGACGCTTTTTGGACGGACTTGTCCGGCGGGCCCGTGCAGTGTGGCCCTGAAAGGTACCCACCGAGGTCAATGAGGATGGCGTGCTGGTAGCTGGTGAGTTGGTTCAGCAGCTGCTGGTAGCCCACAGACAGGTCCACCTCGGCCCCCTGGCACGGAGGACGGCGTAGCTTGCACTGCTCCGCCAGTAGCAGCCAGATCTCCCCACGCCGGTGGCGGGGGAGCCCTGCAAACGATTAGTACCAGGTCTGCAATCTTTACTTGATGCTATGGGAAACATTTTCCCAGGGACAAATTGAAGCACCAAAGCTGCCGGCACTGGGAGTCAGCCCATGAGATTGCTTAGAGACCCTGGCAGATGAATGTGGCATTGGAGAAACCAGCGAGGTTTAACGATAACGTCAGATCATGAAATTTTACTTCCGACAACAATGATTTGTCAAATGAGCCCGGAACGTCGACAACTGCGCATCGGTGAGGCGTGTTTTGGTTTCAGTTTTGGATTTCGAGTTTTTAGAGCGCAGCTCTGTTTCGCGGCATTGGTGTCAGCGTAACTGCGCTAAATTTAGAGGGAAAATTGACGTCACGCGACCTCAACACCAATTCAAACTTTAGTGGTGAATTGAATTGCTGTTGAGGCCACGCGATGATTTTCCCGCCAAATCTAGAGTACAAACTGAATTTGTTCATAGGTGACGTGACACCAAGTCATGTGACATCATTTTTCCCACTAAATTTAGTGGGGAAACTGAATTGGTGTTGAGATCATATGGCGTAAATTTTTTGGCTAAATTTAGCGGGGAAACTGTGGGAGGAGGGGAGGCTACAAGGGAGGAGGATGGGAGGGTATGTGAGAGGAGGAGGCGAAAGTATGAAGGATAAGGAGGGGAAGGTATGAAGGAGGAGGAGAGAGGAGGAGGAAGAAAGGAAGAGGAGGAGAGGAGGGGAGGTCGAACCTCTTTCTACATGCAAAATGGGGCTCTAACGGTGGAAGCGAGGACAGACTCGTTGCAGCCGCTTGCTCGGAACGCTTCGTCTTGCGGGTGAGCGCATGGGGGAGATGGAGGGGTGCTCACCTGCCCGGACCAGGTCCGCCAGCAGGTCCGGGTTGATGCGTTCCCCGGGGCCCATGGCCAGCAGCTGGTCCCACTGGTCGCAAGCCTCCCTCGGGCACGGGCACACCTCCTCGTAGGCTAGGCGTAGGCGTTTGCTCGTCGCCTCGTCCTGGCTCACTGCAACAGAATTACTCCAAACCTTCCCACCCAACTCGCAACAAAACATTCCTTCCTCGAATATAAGACTGTCATAAAATGAACTTCCTCTAAAAAGCTTGTTTTTGTAGCACAATATTTATCTCAAGATATACATTCTCGGTGAGGAACGAATCTAACACTTGCGTCTACTACGAGACAGATGAAAGCACTCGAGAGGAGCATAGATAGGTATGGCCTTAAAGTGTCTTTTTTTTTTTTTTTTAGTAAATGCTTATCTCAATGTACACGTCCTATCCGGCAGCTTTAACTCTCTGCTGACCACGGGTAAAATAGCAATTTCAAAAAGATTCCGTACAAACTCTTTTATTTTCCTAGCTATTTTGTGTATGGACCAATTTGACACACCGAAATGTGGCCAATTAATTGTTCTTTCAAAAGAAACTGAGGTTGGTATAATGTGAGAAAAAGATTTTAATATTTTATTGTTTAAAATACAATGTATATGGGAAAGGCATATAAACAGTGACACTTCTACAGCTGTTCCAATTAAACGACAGATAGAAGAAAAATGCAGAATATACAAAATGTGCCCCACACCCCCAGCTATAACTTCTGAAAGTTAGCATACTCTAACTGACGTCTATTTTTGGTTGGTCAGAGAGTTAGCTTCCGTAATGCATGTGCTTTTCAACGAAGGAATGCTTATTGGTGAATCACAGATAGTACACCTCACTTCCCCAGCGGAATGCTTTCCTTCTGTTGAACCTTGCTTCTGTCATGACCTTGATTGCAGTTCCTTCATATTTAACATTTTTCTCCGCCCTGTTGGCAACATAAAACATGCACGCCGGCTCAGGACAGCATGCCACAATACAGTTGAATTATATGAATAATGCCATCTTTGTTATGAAGACTGATGCAAGCAGTTAGCCATGTTAGACATGTGCAACCACCATTCCCAAGACCATTTTTGACAGCCCACCAGCTTGTGATAAATCTTAAACCTACGCTGAAACCAAAACTAGAGTTCTTCAGCTATCCACGAGATTGTGGAACATAAATCTCCGCACTAAATTTAATTTCTTGATGGCACTTGGAAACCATCGATCACTGGTGATCAGTGGCCTACAAACGCAATCAGAAAAAGTTAAAAAATAAACAGCTAGAGCCGTGTTTCTTTGCGCTGCTCTTTCGACGCAGCTTTTTCGAACTATAGGTCAACCCACAATCAAGGCCAAAGAACTTGTAATAGCACTGAGCATAATTTCCGAGCCTATCGCACTAACCCACATGTTCACCCACGTCAGCCGCTGCTCCTAGCACTCCGGTGCAAAGCCGTGACGCTCGACGCATGCGCGCTGGTGCAAAAGGCGGCACAGAGGCACGTGGTAGACATGATGACCATGTTACCTCGTCAGCAGTGCAAGACCCTAGTTCTGCCTTATGACAGTAGCTACCATTCTACTATTTTGCTATGTTTCCTCTCGACTTTTAGCTCCCGACATCGCCGACGTCGTTTGGAAATTTAGACGATGTCGGCGATAAACCTGTCAGCGCATCAACCGGCCAGCACGGTCGACGAGGAATCTTAATACTTCGAGCATAGCCAACGCTACGAGCCATCGTCCATCTTCCTGTAGTGTTCTTTCATCGACTAAACCTATCAAATGCAGCGAACGTGTCCCGTGACATGCGCTTTTGGTACGTGTGTTTGTGGGTGTATGTGTTCCAGCATTCGACAGAGCTCTGACCCAAGGTGAAAAAAAACTATATAATAAATACAGACGCTGTGAAACACACATTTGTACAAGTTTTCTTCCCTCCTACTTCTCTAAACGCTAGTGCCGACCAACAATAAAGTATTCCTTTAGTTTTTGCTTTGCATAAGCCCATTTTGGTGCAGGTGTGATGCAATTCTTACCAAAAATGGCACTTTGGCTCAAGATGTAGCAGACTTTCATTCATAGCGCAATTTGGCGCAAATGGTGCTGCACTTCCATCACTGTGACAAAGACAAGCGAGCACATTCTGTGTGCCTGCCGTGTGCGCACATTTTTCATTTTTTTATTGTTTTTTGTTTTATTAATATTTTTCATTATTTATTATTTTTTTATTATACAATTAAACCTCGATGTAACGAAGTCGGTAAAATTCGCAATTTACTTCGTTACATTGAAATTTCGCTAAATCGAAATTTGGCTTTAGCATGCAAACAAAAATTCCGAAACATTTTACGGGTATGAAAACTCACCAAAAATGACATTTATTTAGGGGCAAAGTAGTCCGCGAGTTTTGCTTGCGCCTTGTTCGATAGTAGCAGCGGCGTCATACGGCGTTTGAGCGCCCAGAGCGCTTGCACGGCATCTTGCTGCCCATGCGACGCCGTGTACCTCCTCAGTGCATCCATTGCGTCGAGCACTTCCGGAGTGCTCGTGATCTCGGCAGTTTCTTCAGGATGGCGTCCAAAACGTTTGCTTTCTCATCCAAAGAAAGAACTTTACGTTTCCTTATGGCAGCAAGCACGTGAGTCATTGACGGCTCTGACGTGAGTGAACCGCCCGGTTGAAAAATAAAGCTGTTTAGTTTAGGCGGTGCCAATGTTTCCAACCTACACAGCACCACAGCACTCTTGACCGCACAGTTTACTTGCCCCCTTGCGCCCACACTGTGCTTGCGCCTTTGCTTTACATCACGCTCGCAAGACGATAATCAGTCTTCTCGGTCTTCTCCTAGATGGCACTGCCCGTGCGGTCGCGTCATCACGTCGCTCCCCCGCTGAAGTTGGCTCCCGCGCTACCCGCGGTACAGTGGACTATGATGATCAGTGAATGTCAGTGGTGATGCTGTTATGCCGTGTTAACTTTTTGCTCGGCATTTTCTGGCCAGCCCCACGGAATCCGCTTTGCCGCACGCCTCGCCGGCGCTACCGGCGCCGCATCCTCGGGCAGCCTAGGAACGTTGGAAGGCCTGTCCCCGTGAAGTAACCTATCAAGCGCTCGCGTTTGCGCATAACTTTTTTTTTTAACCACAATTTTTTTGCGAAGTTTTTTTTTTTTAGAGTCTATTTATTAATTGCCTTCTATGGCGATGGCGCTTCGTTATATTGAAATAGCAGCAAACTAGACTTTGTTATATAGAGACTAAAAATACATGGGGTCTATGGGCAAGAAATTATGAAAAATAAAATACTTCGTTAAATCGAGGATTTCGTTACATTGAAGTTCGTTATATCGAGGTTCGACTGTACATTCGTTCAAAACATGCAGCTTTCCCTAACACGTTTTCATGAAGATAAAATCATTTACTCTTCCAGAGCAGCTGCGCTATACAGTTAGGTGACTAATGCATCCGAGCGATTCAGGCTCGAGCCCCGTTTGGGGTGTCTTTCCAACGTCGATTTCACAAGGGCCTTAATAAACTTTACATATGATCAAAGCGTCACACAATGCCCCCAGCGTGTCAGTTGTTCATGACGTATGTTCGTGACAATTTTCTCGCAGAAAACAACCCGGTACGACCTAGACATACTTAAATTTTGTTGGAAGGTCTATGACCAAACGTGTGAATCGCGACACCCCGAGGGCACAGCGAAGCGGGCTCCGGAGCCATAATTTGACGCCCCTTCGGAAGCACTTTGGAAGCCCGGGACGCGGCAGACTGTCGAGGAAAATGGAAATCCCGTTGGAAGGGTGTGCGGCTGCTCCACCCACCCTGCAGCTGCCTGTTCTCCTTCTCCATGCGGATGAGCAGGATCTGTTCCATGATGGCTTTCCTCCATAGGCCCCGGAGCTCCTCCCTTGTCTTCCTCGTCTCTCCGGCTGCCGGGCTGGCTTCCGAAACTGGGGAGGGCACCAGGTCAGCACTTCGGTGAGCCGGTCTCCTTCGGAAACTCGCGCGTTAATCTTTTGGAGTCCGCTGCAGTACGCGTCCCACACGGTCCCGGCCATGCGTGTACGGTGGCCGTCGCGCATCTCACACTTCCCGCTCAAATGCGAAACCATACGCACACCCCGGGAGATGCTGCTACCCGTTATATGGTCGGGGAACTATAGTTCTTTCCCTTGAGCTGTGTCTCACTCTGCCGGAGGTATTTATCGCTTTCAAATTAGATTTTTCCTGCAAGTGATATCCTCAAGATGGCCGTCTCTTCCGAACTGAAACTTCCGATGCTTCTGAGAAACATTCGGAAGATGCTTCCAACAGAGAAGCTCCTTAAAGTACCTCTGGTTGGCAGTCAGACTGCCGAATGTCCTGGAAGCAGACGCACCAAAATGAAACCGAATAGAAAAAAGGCGACAACTTCTCGCCATTAATAATGAAGTTGGATGCTTCTCACTCGGGACATCTTGCAAGCATGCTACATAATCCCGTTTGATAATCTTAAGAACCTACACTTTGACTTAACCTTTGTGCTATCCCAGGGGTAAAAAAAAACCCACCACTGGGGCAAGTCTTTCGAAAAAAGAGCTCGACCTCAAAAGGGTTCAAAATTTTGACCGCAGTCTGATACACTTGGTGTATGCTTGTGCCACACTCAATACCAAAAATTGTGAGATGACTGCTTCAGACACCCTGAAAAGGGGTCGCCGCATCGTTGCACCGCACGGTCTTTGGTCCTCCATCCGAGGATCGTCCTCCGTGGTTCGCAATGCTAGATCTGCTTCGAGTTTGTCTTCGAGATGTATGCTTGCATGCCAATGAGGAGTGCAAGTTCGTCTGCCTCTTGGAGAGGGGTTGTGGTGACCTCAGAATGCCGAGCTGCGACTGGCTCGATTGGAAGGATAGTGGGTAGACCTCAAAGCATCTAGCATTGACGTCTACCCACTATCCTTCCAATCAAAGCCAAACAAAGCTTGGCATTCTGACGTCACCGCAAGCCCTGCGCAAGAAGCAGACGAACTTGCGATCCGCATAGGCTCACATCTATGCATGCATTGTGTGTGCCGTAACATCCCGAGTCACTGCCTGCTACTCCACTGCCCGAAATTCAATTAATCGTCTTTATTTGTATATTAAAGGTGGGATCATCTGCTCAAAGGCGGATGAGCTGACTTTTGAGCGAGTTCATCCGCCGACCCTACAATGCATGGAATGCGTCTCGGAACGGCGCCTTTACTGCGTCCTCAAAAGTGGTCCCTCGAATAATGCCCGACAACGACGCAGAAGCGTTGCCCGCCTCGATCCCGGCAGTGGCGCAGCAGTGAAGGTGCCCGCAGCAGACGCGCGCTGTAGCTCACTCTGCATCCAGACAGTCGATGAAAACCAAAGCAGACGCAAGATGACTCTTGTGCCCACTCGCATTCTTTCTGGAGTTCTTACGACCAACCGCGAGGATCGCGACGTCCGACAGTAAGACATGCCGACTCTTGCGACAACGTCCGCTGCCACCCGGGGACCCTTATGGGATGCCAAAGATACCGGCGAAAGACGCGCTGCGGGGAGTGCGGCGCACCGTGGTTCTGAGACAAGGACACCCACCCTGGTTGGGAGAGCTGTGCACCCTCTGGAAGATGGCCTGCCTCCAGGAAGAGCCCGGCTCCAAGGGAGACTCTTCCGTTGACTGGTGGCGCCCCACCTTGAGGAAGCTGCACGAACAGGCACGGCCTTTACCGCGTGCCCTTCTGAAAACGTGCCTCTCGTCGTTGCAGCAATCCTACGTACGGCATGCGAAGGAGTGCCTACATCATGGTTTAGCATTTGGAGACATTGGAATGCGAAGAAGGCGGGACAAAGACGAGACGGGGAGCTTGCCGGCTTCGTTACGTGTTGGCGAGACGAGGCGTGAGTGGCGAGACAGAAGGGATCGCGCCACATCCGGGACCGACGGAGCATACGGTCGGCACGGCCCCGCAAAATACCGTGCAGTGTGGGGTCAGGGACCTAAGCGGGAATTCCCGAAAAGGGGCCGCGGGAGAGGAGCACTCACATGTTGACGAGCGGGCTCCTCTTGGGCGTCTGGGGGGCCTCCTCCTCCAGCAGGGCAGAACCGCACGACCGCGTTTCGACATCCCTTCGGCTGCCGGGATCCGCGCTGCCCTCCCGCGAGGACAGCTGGGATCCGGGCCCCGTGGGAGACGTCTCGCTCAGCGTCAGCTGGAAGGGGGCACGGGGGGGCTCGAGCCACTTGCACGCTCCTCTTAATCTCACAATTAGATCGCTACCGGAGGTTAGACGGCAACGCCAGACCGGTAAATTCACATTCTGTCGAGACATTTAGGCAAGGCAATACTCGCTCGTGTCCGGGGAAGCCCGTGCCACAAGGCTACCATTAGTTTGCGCAGACAAGTTTTGCATTGCGGAACGTTGCTACCAATCTGCAACACTCCAATCAAGCGAGAAAAACAAAAACTTTGCAAGATCGCAAGGACAGAGCATCCGGTTTTGATAAATTCGCCCCGTCTGTATTTTGCCAGTCAATATTGCGAGGCAGAGTCAAAAAGTACCCAGAATGTAGTCATAAAAGAGTCGAAATCACACGATAGACTGCTATGCTTCGAATATTGTTTGGCCCTCTGTTAAAGCAAGCTGTGTACGCCGGCCCAGCAGCCTGCTGGAAAATGTCACGTGATGACAGCACTCTCAAGATGGTCGCCCCCTTGATAGCGTGCACCAGGGTGGAGCAGCACAAGTCCGGTTTTTGGGTGCAGAGGGCAAAAAGCACGCGGATATCCATCGCAGGATGTTGAAGCAGTATGGAGGTGCCAGTACGTCACTTCGACGGGCGCATGAGCAGTACAAAAGTTTTCAAAGCGTAGGGTCAGGTCTGACCAATGCACCTCGCTATCACTAAATATTGTACTGTATCAAATCTCACACATTACAGCAATCAAAAAATTGGAATGATCAGAACTGTAACAGATTTAGAACATTTAAATTATTCACACACCCCTCTCACAACACTGGTAGGCTCGAGCAAAAAGGCTGCGAATGATATAAACATACAGTCGACTCTCAATAATTCGAAGCTCACAGAAACATCGAAACACTTAGAATTAGGCGAACATAAATTAGAAAGACACGCTCAGGCCACAAGTTTTTTTTTTATTTAGCACTCACTCGGGAGTTGTTGATTTTCGCTTGCCTCTGCAGGTGAAAACGTGCCACAGTAACTATGCACTGAAAACCACAAAAAAAACTTCTTGGTTGTCTTCTATTTGCCGAAGGAACGGTTTTCTATGGCCCCATATACGGTTTCTGCCCCGGTGGTAGTCCTCGGAACGGAAGGCGACGGTTCCTAGGCTTAATCTTCTGCACAACCTCACCATCACAAAGCAGACAACAAACAATGTCGTGTTTCTTGACATCAATACATTCGATAGACGAAACATCTCCAGGGGCCGAAAAATTCCTCGAGCAAGCCAAGCTTTCTTAGCCATGCGTGCCGCTTGACCACTATGTCGATTGCTTCAACAACTTCCACAAGATGGCGTCACGGTGAGCTGTGCTGCCACATTTGACTTGAACCGGCAGCTTAGCCACGCACATCCATTTTTTGCTCCTTCCCCGACTGCGCAAACGCTTGATAAAAGCAATAAAGTGTGGACGGTTTATGATCCAAGCTTTGCTAAGCATAATCGCTATGCTTTCTCATGCCCCCGGAGTTACCGAGCTTAGGGGGCAAACTAAGAATCTTTCGAATTAACCGGAACCATAGGTAAAACTTTTCATTAGCGCACGTTTCTTTCAATTCGCTCGTATGCACGATTGCCGGGACCGCACCCACACTTCCAACTAACCGAACATTCGGATGGAACGACTTTGAATTAGCGAGAGTCGACTGTATTCGTCCAGAGAATTTTCCGCTTTGAGGAAAGAGCTCCCCTGCAAGTGAGCAGGGCCGAGGGGTGCCTTACTTTAAAGGCCTCTTCCGACGGCAGTGTAGAGGAGCGCTCCCGTGGCTCGCCCTCCCTGGCTTTCCTCTGCAAAGCACACGCCAGACACTCAGCACCGCAGCCCAGCATGGGGCGCCCCCCCGGGTCACATCCGGGGAACACTCGGAAACGGCACAGAGCCTGCGGTCTCGTCACCACTCTCGTCCGGGCCGGTTGCGTCCCAGCGATGTTGAAAAGCGCAAACGAGGCAAGGACGGATATAGGCACGCGTACGGCTCTTCACAAGTCGTTTCATTACCCCGTCAATCCAACCAATTGATACCGTCACCCGCCGGATGACACACACACGCACGTGAACAAATATATGACAGAAATAAAATATTACAAAGATACCATACTTCTTATTGTACTTTTTTGCAAGTGAGTGTGCGGACGCGAAATCATGCAGGCGACGACACATGGGTATTGCTCACGTCGGCACAGTAATAAAATCAATCGAAAGTTTGTGTCAATCCTCGTCGTGTGCGCGCCTTTTTCTTTTCTTTCCTCGTCTCGTTGACGTTTTCTAATTGGCTTTCAGTCCCGTTTAAACCTTTCTCTCGCTCTGAACACGCTGGACAAACAATGTGGCTCTACTCCGGGGAACTTGTCCATCGCGAGGAACCCTCGCCTGGCTCGACCGAAACCCAAGGACCCCTGCCGGTCTCAGCATCGATACAATAAAGCGGTGCAGAGCCAGCTGGACTCGCATCAGTGCAGCGCATCGTTATTCAAAAGAATGTGAGCTACGCAGTTATCAGAAATCATGAAAAATATATGCCGTCGTCACCTCTTTCTAATTTCAAAAACACGTGGCAATCTTGTCACAGAGAGAGAGCAGTGTGGGACACATTGTGGTGGACACGTCGCCCGCGGCAACCACAGCCAACACCGCCGGCAAAAAAGATTCTACAAAGAATGAGCAGCTTCATGTGGTAGGGGGTCTCGGGGTTTAGATAGGAAGGAGAATGCATCCGATATAGTTTTCACATTTCGTCAGCTTGGTTCTCGGCGATGCGCCCGGGTTGTCGTACGATGCGGGATGTGCATTATTGCGCGTTGTGTAATCCAGACTTCTAACGTGTTGCTCCAATGGCGAGTTCACCGGGCCAGCGCTGGACCGTTCTAATTGACACGGTTTGCACTGTTGCTGTGGTCGCACTCTTTGTCGTGGTCCGTGCAAACCACAACAAACACGAATAGTAAAATATTGGCGCAACATTCCACCGACCCCTCTGAAGGTGTAATTCTGTGCAATTTTACCACCTAATTGGGAAAATAAACTATGATAATGCTAACAAAAGATGAGACCTCTTTGCGAGTGGCCCGTGCGACTATAAACATTTGTGCTACTTGGACCGTGTTACGACGCACAGCCAGCACGACGACAGCGATGCGAGCGCAAGAGTGTGCAAATCTAACTAATGCACACCCGTGTTGGGCAGCGGCTTGCGCCACCTAGGTGATGGCTGCTACGGCGGTGGAAGGCACGCACCCCTCGCGCCTCACTGCCGCAGTCTAAATGCCACTTTCTGCCACGGCCAATTGGGCAATCTTTGGACTGACGTTAATTTCGAACTTGATGGTAGTCCATGGATTGTGGCAAAGGAAATACTTTATGAATTGGGTTCATCGCCTACAAGCCCAGGATTCAAATCAAATCAGATCCCTCGTAAATCTCCGGCCCGTGTCGTCCGCCCGCACGCCGTCGTCCTCCACTTTGCTACATCCCAACAATATCACACTTTTAAATCTCACAACTAGTTCATGATTACAATGCCGAAAGTGGTGAGTCGAGAAGCAGATGTAACGAATGTGTAGACCGTAGAGCGGAAAGATGTGCGGTTTACAAAGGCGATTCGGGGCGGGAGAGGCAGTTCTGGTCTAAGTTCACCGAGGCGTCCCCCGCTCCGACCAGGCTCCGACGGAGGGGAGAGACCCACCTTGAGGATGGTGTCGAAGGAGTTGGACAGGGACTTCTTGGCCTTCTCCTTGAGGTGGTCGAAGGTGAAGGACGGGGCTCGTAAGTCCAGGAAGCCCTGCAAGAGAGGCCACGCTCCAGGACGCCCGCACACTAACGGCGGGGGCACAAGATGCCACGTCACGGACGCACCCACGGATGTGGACAAGCGAATGAAAGCAGGGAGAGACACGCCCTCCTATGTTTCGACGTTTAGCGAAAAATGACAGGTGCACCCGGGCAATCTGCACAAAGGGGAAGGGCAGGAGAGGGAGGCTGTCTCAGCGCTCGAGCCGCAGGGTGCGCCAGGGGCTCTTTCTCACCGCCGGCGGGGAGACAGCGTGCTCCGAGGCTCGGCGTTCGCCGACAAAGACTTAACCTATACCCAAGACAATTCGTATAAACTGTAAGAATACAACTGTCACGCGCAGCCCACTAGTTGGAATGCCAACTCGCTACGACGCGAGCCAGCAACCGCGCAGCCAATGAGAGCAATGTGCTACATCGACTGTTGGCACCGAGTCGGTTTGTTGAAGAGCAAGACACACTGTTTAGGAGGCCGTCTGTAAAGAGACGTTGAACTAAAAAAAGGCTCTAAGTGCATGTCTAGAATACGCATGTCACAAGAAACACTTTCCCTCCAATAAAAACTGCCCATCTCTTTGGTATATTCCAAAAGCACTCCAAATGCTTAGCATTTCTAGATCCTCCACAATGCCATGGTATCACGAGACGTGACGTGACAACGTAACACCCTGATGTTACTGTGACAGGTCGAGAGAAGAGGTAGAACCTGCTTAGACACGTCGATCCTGGAGGAGAAAAAAGTGGAAGAATGGGTGCGGCATGTGGAAGGACCGAGCAAAGTCTGCCCTGGTCGCTCCAAAGCGGACACCCAAGGGCCATCCCGCCAAGCTACTTCCATCATCACGGTCTCTAAGGAACTCAAGGTCGCGCAGCACGCTTGACCTCAATGCCAGGAACAACAGACTCTTTCTAGTATCTCTTGCAAAGCAACTGAGTATGAAACTTCCCTATTATGACTCAAAGGGCAACTCCAGAAATTTCTTGAGCTACCCAAACTAGCTACATTTTCTCAATACCTGGCCTTTACCCTTTCCGGCATGCTATATTTAGCATAACTTGAAATTCAGAACAGTTATTGTGAAATCAGCAAACGTAATGCCAAAACCAACATTAAAATGTACCCTCGCTTTTCAGTGCTGTGATGTCATTGGCAAGCAGGCTTGCAGGTCAAGTGGTCAGCCTAAAAAACAGAGTAGGCCGCGAATTCGTTTTGTACTGCTGCGCGAGGGCCAAAGCGAGCTTCCAAAGCCTTTATTTGACACCATAAAATTCTTAGTGATGCGTTGGGAACAAATCTTACAGCCCAGAGATTGCACCCCTGCCTGCTGCTGGCATCACTTTTTCATTTTTGCCAGTAGAGACTTTCCATTTGAAAAAGCCAGCAAGGACCAAAGTTTAACGTTCAATAAATTTGTAGAAAAAATATTTTTGCGTGATACAATAGAATTTTGTTAATATGTTTTTTCAAGGGACCACAGATATAAAACATACCATCCAAGAAAACGTAACGAATGAGTACATGATTCGGGGGTGCTATTGACGAGACAGATAGCAACTGTCACGAAACAATTCATTAGGTGTGTGTGAATAGCGATTTTTGAAACCGAATAAAATACAAATCATTAGTACTTGCGGCACCGAATCGAATACGAATAGAAATCGAATAATGTTTGAACAGTTTTCGAATAGTAAGTAGACAGCTACTAAAAAAGAGTACAGATTATAAAAATGGTTTATTGTTCCAAAATGTTTCTTAAAATCATTGTAAAAACGCAAGTCTAGGTGGTAATGACTAAAGCTCAACGATATATAATAAAAGAGACAAAAGGTACTAAAATGTTAGAACGCTAAACATAATATCACGGCTCATGTGGGTGCTGAGCATAAAATCACAGTTCGCACGGAACTAAAAAAAATAAAATGACTGCATCTCCACATGGTGAATGATGTTGATTGGCGCAAAGCTCTGGTGGTGCTGATGATACTGATTTTATTGTTCATAGGTAGTGCTGATGGTGCTGATTTTTTTTTTTATTACTCATAGGTAGTGCTGAGTTCCGGGATGCGTTTCGACTTCATTATTACTGCTTTATGGTCGGTGAAATGCAGAGCCAGTGGTTCTTCTAGCGGATCAGCTCGGATCCACTAGAAGCCGTGGGAACGCATTTCCACCACGGTCCATGTCAGAAAGAGAATGTGGGGTATGGAACGTGGTTACCATACGCATTTGAGCATTTGACAGCAGCGCCCTCTCGTCTATAAACGTTGAGCCAATGCATGCAAAGTTTAACGCGATTATATAGACATTTGACCGTAGCGCCCTCTCCTGTATAGACATTGAGTGGCTACATGCAACGTTTCATCCATGACATCCCCAGTTCTTGTGTTACTACCACATCTCAGAGCCCCCTACTCGTCCCGCAATTGGGGCCGAGTGGTTAAGGCGATGGACTAGAAATTCAACGGCGCCTCCCCGCACAGGTTCGAATCCTGTCGACTGTGCAAACATTTCTTCTTTTTATGTCAGCATGAACGCCGGCCGGACGGATGGACGGACGGACGGGCCAGGCTGGACCTTAAGGACCTTCGTCCCTAAAAAAAAGGAATCTTACAAATTATCAGATTCCTTCTCACAACCCATATGTGAGTGAGGTGAGGCAGCATACTAGTCATCTTATTTTCACCGATCAGAAATTGAGAAGGCTTGTTAGTGTCGCTTTTAGGAGGTAAGAACCAGGAAAGCAAATGCACTGATTAAGAAATTAATGCACGTGTTCCTATGGAGCTCAGCGGGATCGACGCTTCTGAACATAAAGTAGGAAAAACGCAAAACGCCGGGAACATATCAACGGGGTTCCACTGTATTCAGGCGACTGGTTGAACAATGTTTGTTGGTGTGTTCAGCCAAATACGAGAAAAATTGGGGACCAGGAATAAAGATGCCAGAGGACTCCTTAAAGTCATGCTACATTTCTAACACGAGTGTAAATTTTGCTAACGTGTCTTTCCTAAATATTTTTGTTCTTTTTTACCTTCCAAGGAACAGTTTACACTAATGGTCACAGTATCACACAACATGGTATCACATGACGCCAGTTTATGTGAAATCACCACATGAACACCGTGACATCATCACAATGTTCATGCGACGACGTCACGATGGACCTTTTTAAATGCTGATGTCACATGAACACCATGACTTTGCCACTGAATTTACAGGACATGGACACGACAGCAACAAGAGCTGATGCTACGAATGCTACATATTTAAACAATTCCTTCGCATAATGTTCAAGTTGCGAGACACATTCTGAGTATCATGACATGTTTCTATTTTGGTATGACGTGCCAAGATAGAAGCATATTTCAGAATCACCCATCACTCATGATGAATCTCAGAACATCAATATTGCAGTAGCAAAGTTTGTTTTATGTGCGGGAGGAATTTATTTTATGACATACGTGTCCTATCCAAGCACCTAGCAAAAATGGGAAAGTTACCTTAAAACTGCATAGAGGCGAGTGACGCGGAATCCGTTGTATGTTAGTGTCGACCTGTTTTTGACTCTTGCGTCTGTTTCGCCCATTAGGCTTTTGGAGTAATCTGTGAGGGAGTAGATATGAACACACAATGCATCCTATGCCAGCCGGCATTATATGAAGTACAGGGGCAAGTTATATCGAGGCGTTTGTAAGCCATCTTTTGTCTTTGCACCAGGTTTTGCAGCCGCACGAGTACATCTATGGCGGCTGAAAGGATACCTTTCTAATTTGCTCGGGTATAGCCTCGGACTAGTGAGCAAGAGATTCTCAGTTCAATTCCCGCCCAAGAACAAGAGAATACTTGCCAAGACAGCTGGCCGTGTTATCATATTCTAAAGCGACGGCTTTACGGGTTACATTTCGCAAGGAGTTCGTGGTCGGGGTATGTTGTCTGTTGTCGCAGCGAAGATGATGAAACCTTTCTTTTCTCCCCCTCATGGCAGGAGGAAAGAGAAGTTGGCTGTTGTCATCGGCCGCGCCGCGCAAAGAGGGAAGGGAGGAGGGCACCGACGACCTGCCAATAACAGAGCGACAACGAGGAAGCGGCAGCGGAGCGTCTTCCCTGTCGTCTGCTAACGATGATTTAGAAACAGGTGCTTTCAAACATTACTCACATTATACGAAACCCCATTTTGGCAGTATCCAGTTGCTATGCAAAATGCTGGGGGGTTTTAGAAACTTCCACCCCGCGTTCGATTTCACTATTCGCGACTCCAGCAAAACGGACGCCGCCAAGCGGGAAAACCGGGAACCAGCCGGTCCAGGTCGCTCCGCGCCCCTCCGCGTCTCTGGTGGCTTTCGCGGACACGTGCTGTCGGCGCGATGGCGAACAATGTAATTTGACCAAGGTCTGAATATTTCTTAAGTTTGCCTGAGTGATAATTAGTGTGGTGAGGCCTCAGTAGATTGTTTTCTTCTATTACGTGTTTGAACGCCCGTTTACTCCACAGCACACGGTTGCATGCTTTCGATTTCTTGGATGGGGAGGAATCACGGAAAAACTTTCTGATTTCTTGTCTGTCTCGAATCACATTCAAAGTGACGACTGCTTGGTAACTGATACTGGAGGGAACATCAATGTTGCAGTCAAGTGAATGGGAAGGTTCGATAGCTGCTTTTCTTGAGTTTGGTTGTGTTCGGTTAGCTTCAAGTTTGAGCCACCCACGCCGGTCGGTGCGTTGGCTATTCATCTTGGCTGCTTTTCGCCGAAAAAGCCTTTGGACCACACTGAAGGAGTTGGGCTGATTTCGCAATTACTTGATTCAGGAAAACTTGCTCGCTGCAAATGATGAATGAGGGAAATTATCTGTTTTCAAAAGGTGGGAGACAAGTCTCGCAACGTTAGATGCTGTCACGGCATTTTGACCTATCGCGCCTCCAATATTTATATTACGAGGACGTCGAAGCCAGCAGCAACATACGTCTACGTTGGTCAGGTTGACCGGCCACAAAAAAATACTAATTTTCTCTGTTCAGGATTCGAAGCAAAGTTAAATGCAGAGAGGTTCTGCGTGGATCTTCAATGAAGACTCTCTTCAGTTTGTCTCCGTGCTGCCGGCTATAGAACCATTTGGCTAAGTTTAAGTAGTATGTCTCCGTCTGTCAAATATACTTTTATTCAGAAGCTCACCTAATAGCTAGTCAACTAAGCTCATATTTCAACCCGAAGGATATACTAATATCGCTTTAGTGGGACATAGTACGTAATATAATACATAACCAGCTCGTCAAAATGAATTCTTGATTGCTACTAAAACCTGAATTGAAATACGAGTATCAGCTGCATAGTGGGGCGCCGGCGGGTTAACATGGTCCTTGGCTCAAGAAGCGGTTGCTTAATTTTTGTAATTTTCCTGCAGCCTGTGTTATTGGCCGAGCAGACGACTGGAGCTGTTTCGTAAACGCGGATACGCACAAAAGCTCGATTTCGCGGACAGATAAGTCGCATGGTCGAGGCATGCGAGTTAGCTGAAAAGTTACTCTCTGTGGAACAATTCTGTAGTCATCGCCGCTTTCCTTAGATGATCAAAACTGATTAGTCTATTACCGTCTCTCCAGAGCCCACAGTTTCGGTTTTGAACGAAATCTCCGAAACGAAAGTTTGACACGAAAAGAACAAAAAAACACCGGCAAAACAAAACTATGCTTTGCAAGTTTATCTGCACCGGCTACATTTAACCGTCTCAGTTCAAATACCTATAAAATTGGGCATTAAACGAAAGAAAATCTGTTAAATTGAACGCGACACCTGTTCAGGCGGCCCGGCAGAGCCGCCGCGACCTGGACTCAGCCGCCATGTTTGTTTGGTGGTGGCGCCCCCTATAGGTCGCTGGAGTCGCGAATAACATCTCTAGCTTTCGAACCTAACTTGAAACATAAAATATGTCCTGTCAAAACTCATTGGTTTGCACACGCCTTCCCCGCAGAGCTTCGCCTCATTTATCTGCACGCGTGCCCCTATCCGCTCATCGCTGAACATTGCCACTCAAAAACACCGGGAAAACTTGCGCCTTCGCTTGCATCGTCATTGCTAGAGCCACTAAACGAGCTGCGCTTAGAGTATCGGCACTCTGTTCCCCAACATTGTTATGGGCGCCGCCATTTTGGCTCGTATGCAAAGCAGACGCAACTGCCGATCGCCGTGATTCAAAAGTGCGACTTCCTCAGCACTAGATTCGCTGTTAGGAAGCTCGTGTAATATTGATTTGCTCTGTCGCGAACTGTTTAAAGATTTGTAGAGGACAGAAAAGCGTTTCCTGTGATTTCAGATATAGCGTCAGATAACTGGCAACCATGCTTTTAAGACACAATATGGCCAAGTGTCGTTACTCTGAAGCGTAGCTTATTTAGTGGCACTAGTCATTGCCACAGGCTCTTTCTGATGGCGCCACCACACCAAGGCTACACACCATCCCAGGAGCGAGCGTGGAGGGAATGGCTGACTTTAGAGGATCGCGACTGGCGTAGCATCCACACTTACACCAAGGGAGGCTGCCTGTGCTGCAAGCATGCAACAGTGTGAGGATCCTAAGGTACGACAGCATGAAGAAGATGCGCATACATGGTGACGACAGGACCCCGAGGTGCGGAAAAATGCTACGGCTATCGCTTCTACTTCTTCGCATAAGGCGAGCGAAAAAGGCGCCATTTTTTCATTGCAACCTTTCGCGACGCTCTAGACTTACAAGTCAACCCTAAAGCTCGTTTTGAAAAAAAAAAAAAAAAAACTCTTTGGAGAGTTCAGCGCCATTTTTAAGGGAGTGCGTCGAAGTTTCTGCAACCTCTAGCGCTGTTCCTAGACAAACGCAAGTTCCTGGCAAGGGTCGTGCATGCGGTCTACACCTTTTGCCGACGGGGAGAAGAAAGACATCGTTTTGGACTGGCTCCTTCTCTCGCGGTGCAGTTTAATCGAAGAAGGAGTAAAAAAGAAGCGAAAAAAAAATAACCCGTTTAAAGAAAAGGTTTTTCAAAATTTTGATAATGTACTTAATTAAAGCAGTTGTAGCACCCTTCGTGTGGCATTTCATTCGTACCGAAATAATATGACGTTTAGGCCTAAACTATAGAAAGCACATCCAGCCGTCCACCTTATTTGTGGGTCCGTGAGGCTCACGACCACACCGTTCCGGGGTTTCGTGAGGGAGTAGACGCGTCCAGCGACCTTCTCCATGGTTGCTTCTCCAACGCGACGTCCATTCGTTAGGCTCTTCGAGCAACGGCTGAGTCCTAGCGTTGGCGGTTTGCCTCTGGATGTTTAATTCGTCCCCGGGAAAATCTTTCCCATAGCACGACGAAAAAGATTCCAGACCAGGCAACCCAAAGACAATAGCAATTGCTACAACACAGAACACAGTGCCCAGAATGCGTCTGTGAGTGGTGTGTTTAGCGTCCCCCACCACCCGCAAGTCACAAGGGCTTTTGAAGTGGCGAGGAAGGACACCCCACAAGGCGGCGTGCCGCACACTCGGATAAGGTGATCCGGCGGTTAGTCCTAAAAGTTTCGGCGAAAAAGCGCAAGCGAACACGAGCCTCGTCGTCGCTGTGTCCCAACTCCCAGCTGCCGAAGTTTGCGTGAACCGCCAAGTCGGAGAGTGTACTGCAGCAAAATGGGCTTAACAAAACGGGCTTCTGCCGCCTCAGCCGCCGCCTGGGCCGCAGCAGGCAACGGCGCAACATTGCTGCGACTTAACAGGGAAGAAATCGTTGGACCACTTTTCGGGATGCGGTATTTAGACCAATACAAGCTTTTGACGCGGTGTCACGAGGCATGGGCAATGCCGTTTTGCTCCGTCGCAGACTGTTGCGACATTTCCAGAGGACAGAAAGGCGCAATTTCGGACGAAGCCTGGGATAACCCGCGAGGGCATGAGTCTAGGGGCCGAGAAAGGCAAGCCCACCTCGTGCCTGTGACCCAGGGAGGAGTGGTGCGTGTGCCTGGCTTGCTTGCCCTCGTACAGGCCCCGCAGCAGACTCATGTACAGCTCGTTCTTCTCCTGCACGCTCCTCAGGTCGCCCACCTGCAAGCATAGGCTTAATATAATAATCTAGAGGGAAAGGCGCCACGCATTGCAGCCACTTGAGAACAGCAGGGCATAGACGCGGATGACAATGGTCCCATGGGCTCAGAACACTGGCGACGCTTTAATGTACACTAAGAAATGGATAACCTCGCTCGCAAGGTCTGTACGTATTGTTTCTCTAGCTTTACTTTGCATTTACTTGGTAAAAAACACTAACGTCATGCGTCGTACGAAAAGAAACAAAGTCGACAAGCGCTTGAGCAACTTCAGGTCATTGCGTCAAAACAACAAATACGCGCAACCTATCTTCCGACAGTTCTTTCTGTTTGTACCTTGAAATTAAAAGTCTCCCCTAAAAACAGCTAGTGTAGTAAAAAGCACTTGTTTGGAGCACTACCCTAGGCACCTAGCAATTGTCAAAAACTCGTTCGAGCAAAAATGCAAAAGTCTGCAAACGTAGTGCTCGTGCTAATTGTGTCGAGTGCGGTGTGAGTCTGTCGGGGCACTGCGTGAACAACATTAAAGTTAGGGGGGTCTCGCGGGATCTCGGACCCCCCAAGGATTTCGACGTGGGGTCCGAGACCCCTCTGGGGAGTTGATCAAACCATCGAGCCCCTAGCACCGATGTTGAGAATTAAACCCATGGGCACAACATGAATTACTTGGGCGTGTATCTGATGCTGTGTTCGGCTGCGTCAGCCAAATGCTGGCATAGCCGAACGCGCTGTGTTCGGCTATGCCAGCGTTTGGATGGATGTACATGTAAACAGTTTAAAGGCAAGCTGCTCATAAAAAATATGTCCTAAACTCTCCTCCCCCCCCTCCCCAGTCCGCCGAGGTGAGCATAACGGAGACCCCCCGCCACCCGTGGGAGACTTTAAGCACTGGTGAACAAGGGCCCGACCAAAATCCCAGGCACGGGCTGGGAAGTGCGCAGTTTTCCTGGGTCAGGATCGAGTTCGGAACCATTTCTTGGGTCCAGGCTGGGCATTGACGGGGATGCGAGTGCCACACGGAATCATTGCAGGCAGAAAAACGGACAATGCACTCAAAGGGGACAAAGCAGCCATCTTTCTCACATAGGGTCACATCGAGAGAAATTCTATACAAGCATGCAAAACTATGCTTTACTTCGTTCTGGGGGTATAGTACCTCATAAATTTGGTTAACACGGCTGCAACTTTGCATGGCCTTCTTCTATACGGCTACAAACACCACCTGCAAATATCACGCCAATTGAGTGAGCGGTTCAAAGCTTGACATTCCCAGGTAGTGTCGCCCCTTAAAAAAGATTGCTATTGTAACGTTTCAGATTTTTGTGCCCAGAATATTAACTATCATTCCCGGAAAACACGATAAAAGTTTAATCGTTGAGAACAACTACTAAGGTAAGAAATTGCAATTTCCTTTGTTTCTCCCGTAGATAGATTCCCATGCATTAGCTTGTGTCAAGCGATGGCTGCCAGCGGTACTGCTTGACCTCAGCAAGACAAGCCTCAATCTGCGATTTAGCCTACTACAATAGAGATCAGTGGTAACTACTTTGCGGTGCTCATCAACGTTCTCAGATCTGTTAATTGACAAGCTCCACGGAAGAGCGTCAATCAAAAATGGTCCTTCCCCGCTGCCCGCAAGCAAGCAGGTACGGGCGTATTGCGATCCCAGCGCCACCAGCGGTACAGCCTATCGCGGGCAAAGGAAAAGAACCGTTTTCAAATAATGCTCCTTTAGTGCAAACATTACGTTCACCATAAAAACCTCGATAGAATCCCTTTTCACTGCCGGCAACGTGCATCCAACGTTTCACTGGTTTCGTTCACATGAAATGGCCAAAAGCGTAGTGGACCCCACGTAGCAGACGTGCCATGGAAAGGCACCAGGCATTCTAGGAAGCTTGACGACTGACTAACGTTGGAACCCATCGTGATGCCAAACACTCGTCTGCCTTTCAGTCTGCACCAGGCTCGTGGCAATGACACAATATTTCCACTGGCTTCCCGTCTGCACCCTAGCAAACGAGAGGCATGGGGCATCGGTCGCAAGCACGTTGCCCGTGCCACGGCCCCACTACGGCGCTCAGGAGGTTCAAACCCCGGGCCAAACAAAGGCCGAGACTCACGCACCTGATATTTGGCGGCTATGCTTTGCTTGTCCGAGTCCGAGAGCTGCTGGATGTACCTCTGGATGGCCGAGCAACAGTCGTCCGACGAGAGGCCTGCGCGCCAATGGGATGGTGCCAACACTCGGCTTAGGAGGGCATCACCCAATCGCAGTGTATGCCTATCCATCATCCAAGAAGAAAAAGTCTGCCGGAATGCTTTAACACTCACTTTTCGGTTGAACAACCCACTGCTTATAATCCTAGTGCCCTTTCATTTGAGGGGCATAATAACGATACTTTTTTTTCTAAATCCAACTGACGAAATTGAGATATGTAATATATTCTTAGGACTAAATCGTTCAGCCTTTCCACTCTCGTGAAGAAGGAAGACCAGCGGAACTGTACTCGATACACTGTGTGCTTCTTCTTCGTCGTCGTCTGTTTTTCGCGCTGCTTCCTACGATGAATTTTCACCAACGCGCCCAACTATCCATTCTTCTATTAGTACAGCTGGGAAGGTTGCCGCCATCTACGAGCGACGGCAGAAATCATACTGGTTGTGTGCTTGCCGCCGTCGCTTATAGATGGCGGTAGCTGTTCAGGTAGGTTTGTGTCGACATACACGGACACGATCCTGGGGAACCTAGCCCCTAACAGCTTTGCTGTAAAAATATATCCAGTGCAAAGGTGTGTTGCGTGATCTCAAAGGTGCAGAATGCCCCAAATTTCGTGACGTAACACGGACAATTTGTGGCAACAAGGGTCATGAGACTTGCCCCTCTGCCAATGACCGAGTGGCGCACCACGGAAAGACCAGTACTGCACGAATGCTCGAGTTTCCTAATAGCGGTCTCGAGCAACATGTTGCGTCCTTTTAGATGGTTGACTGTGTTGATGAATAGAATACAAAGACGAAAGAGGAGCATAAAAGGCAGTGCAGACGACGGTGTGAGCTGCATAGTAATGTTTTTTCTTTAGGAAGTGCGGGTGAATTGTGGTCGCAAAGGATGGCTAGATGGAGATGAATGGTGTCAGCCACTGGGCAATGGGCCCTCGCCTTCCCGCCGAAACTTTCAGACAATTTTGAATAAGATACCAACTTTTTAATAAGATACCGACAAGCTCTGAAACTTTTGGCATCCAGCATAGATCGGTCGCGTTATATTTGGGTGGTGTCCAAGCATTTGGCAATGCGTGGTTTGTTTTTGCGGTGAAAAGAAATGCAGTAAATTTTAATAACGTAGAATGTGTTATATATGGCTGGCTCCTAACTGCTTTCGGTTTTCACTCCAGTTGCAGAAGAGAAAAATGTGAGTGCCTGCCAAACGCTGATGTAGTGCTCATCATCTTCTCATCGATTGAACACGGGTGTCGTCGGAATGCCTCGCTCGAGTATGTCCGAGCTACTCCCATGGGTCACGTCATGTCACCAAACAGGGCGACGCCAGCAGCGCGCTCTACTCCTAACACACGCTAAACGAGCAAACTCTAAGCTTTTGCCGAGCACTCTTTTTTTATTCTTCCTTCTACTTTGGTGTGCTTTCTTGATCGACGAGAAAGCCACGGCAAGGCGCTAGTCACTCATCTTCTTTGTTCCAACATGCCTCGCTCCCGGAGTGGCCACGGTGCCAGAAATGGCGGCACTGCGATTGCATCTAACTCGACGCTACACCACGTTCCGTGTTACCCCGGCCTTTGGCACAATAGTGGGAGGAAAAGGGCAATCTTTTAGAGGACACGCTGTACATGAAAGAGAACAACAAGAACATGAGAAAACTAGTGGAAAATAACGGTGACAAAAAAACTATCAGAGACTGGGTAAAAGGATTGAATTGGCTGTCTCTTTGGCATTTCCCAAAGGCTTTCAAATACACAGCATTTATAGGGCCTCTTCGCACTTCCCTTTTTGTGAACACAGTAAGGCCGGAGTCATACGGCTAATGCATCATACAAAAGATAGTCTATAGACAATGTCTAAGACGTGTTTGTTCCTTAAATGACGGCCATGTCAGGTTGGTCATACCTAGCATCATGACATCATGATATAATGCAACTTTAAAGTGACCTGTGATGTCATAAAGTCACATGACTCATGAAGTCATGTGACGTCGCAGTACCACGTGACGGCATAGTTTCACATGACATCATGTCACATGATGTCATGTTGTCACGTAACACTGATGTCATTGAGGCTACATGCCAAGGACACAAAATCCCCGAGGCTGCCCCTTTAAACGCTATGTATTCAAACAAGCTTGATCATGCTGACAAAGACTGGCGAGCAGAGAATGTGGTTAGCGAAAACTACGCACATTCTGTGTGGTTTGCTAGTGGGGCCGATGAGAGCAGAGCGTGAAACCACATATCGTGTCATATCACGTGACACCATGACGTCGCGCAATGTCATGAGGTCGCGTGCCCTGTGACATCACGCAATTCCATCGCGTCGCGTGATGTCATAATGTCACGTGGGGTCGGGTGTCACTGCGACATAAAGAAAAAAATGCTTTGCTTAGCGTTTTTTCGTCCTGATTCATCTATGACTGCACAGCCTCGAAGTGGGTGTAGAAGGGGCCTCAGCTCACCTTCGAGGTCCAGGCAGAGCTTGTGGAAGCGCTGCATGGGGCAGGAGTCGCACAAGCCCTGCAGTTGCGGGGGGCACGGCTCCTTGGTCTGCAGGGCGCTGTGGAAGGCCTGCTTCAGCGTCTGCATTATCTCGTTTGCCTGTGCAGTGGGGGACACGCAACTCAAGTTCCAGATTTCCTGTCTTGTCCAGCATTCGTGGACCCTCCTTGCACTTGGATTCCCATGAGCAACCCAGCCTCGATGCTGGAACATTCGAGGGTAACCACGCTCCTCATGCTTAAACACTCACGGGCCATAACGCCCTCGGCACTACAACGATCGTGAGTACTCCTTTCGTTTCTCTTTTTGCGCGGAGGCATTACGGGGACTAGTGGGCTAGGTATGCTGCAGAAACGTAAATGAAACAACGAAAAGGCAAGAAAGACTATTCAATTACATCCTACACGGGCACTTTAAAAAAATGTCTATCACCAGTTTTGCTTACCCTTAACCGCAAAGGAAATTTAAAGGACTACCTTTCTTTTTTTTTTCAGTTCGACTCTCGCAAATCATTTCGGAAAAAAAGGAATTGCTCTAAATATTTCGAGGTCCGTCCCGAATTAAGGGAGCAAAAAGGGGGACAACAACCTCGAACAATCTAAACGTAGCAACAGAAAGAGATCCAGAAGAGACTCCGGAGTCAGGCACCCACCACTTCCACGCTGGAGCATTTGAAGATGTGGGCAATGTAGTTGTCCGTCGAGGCCAGTGAGGAGTCCCTGCAGTTGAAACCGAAGTGGTCGGGGTGCTTGGTGCCCTGCAGCGAAGCCAAGTGCCCCCTGTTGAACTCTGCTGGCATTGCTACAGTAGTTCAAACGCGGCTCCGTCTGGTGCGCGTTTAGTGCCCTATTCTGCCATGCATCCAACCACGCTGCAGTGGTGCGATTGGTCCCAAATCATTTCGTAGCACCTTTCGGAGCAGTCAAATAACTGTTATGACGCAGCAAAAAAGTACTTTTGGAGCACGAGCACACACCACCAGTTTTTTCCATAAAACTGCAAATATTATGTGTTAAAATTCGTGTGCTGGCCTATCCAACTACTAAGAAACGTGCCTACTTTGCCTTCACACTTCTCTGCAACTTTTTGTTAGCATCATCTGCTTGGAAGGTTTGGCTCTCTCAAACACAAAACTAGCTGTCTGATTGCATATAAAATTACTAGGCATGGCAACAAGATGCTGACTGATGGAGGACAGTATGAACTGCTGTGAATGGTTAATTTAGGTATGAAATAAAATGTAAACCAAATAGTATATACCATTGAAATAACCTTAGAGTAATCTTGAACACACAAATTGATGCTTCACTGAAGCTCTAAAGGTTGCTATAAAACTGAAATTCCTAATTCAAATTGAGAAAAACTCTTGTAACTGAATCATGAACATAAACAATTTGTATGTAGAACTTCATGGTAGCAAAGACCAACGTGTGAATGATAAGCATGCCTTTCTAAAACAATTCATCCAAACTTAATAGGATCCCAAGCTTCCTTTCACTGCTTTACATAATTTAGAATTTACTCTAATGACTGTACTTCAAATGGATAAAACCTAGCATACAAAGGTGACAACTAAACAAGAGAGTTGAAATAAAAATAAACCTATAGACCATTCTACTAAAAAGAGCCAGAGAGGAATGCCCCCTCTCTTCATCTTGAGAGATTCAGTCGCACTTTGTCGAGAAGATATCGCACGCTGCAACTGTGTCATCCCAAGGAGCCATCCCACGCCGCGATGCAGTTCGCTTGCGTCAATTTGTCCACGAGAAAAACTCCCCCGTTGCTCGACAAAAATATTTAGACCAGGCATAATCAATGGTGTTTCGGAAAGATTAACTCAAGAGTTTTGAGCGGATGCTCGCTCGGTACGTCGTGGTAATCTCGTCAAGCGAGAAATAACTTGGGTGCCGTGAAGTGGCACAAAGGTCCAAAAAGACAGAAGAAAATCGTCCGGCCATCAGGCGACCGTCAGTCAGCCGAGAGGCCGGGGTGCCCACCAGGTAGCACCGCGAGATGTCGCAGAAGGGCTTGTTGACGAGCAGCTGCTTCCGGTCCGTGCTGAGCAGGCACAGCTCCCTCCTTAGCACCAGCAGCAGCATAGTGCGACTGTGCCGGCCCCCGTTGTCAGCGCGGCGCAGGTCTGCCGCGCCCCCGCTGCTTACCCGGGGACGCAGGGCCGGCAGGGACGTCTGCCGACAGGGCACGTCTCCGCTCGCGGAACGCACTCGCTGGGCACGGCCCGCTGCAAGGAAAGGGAGCGGGGGCTGAAGCAGAGCTCGGCTAATCGCAAACGCCCGCGTCGCTGGTCCCGAGAGAACGCAGACGATGGGTTAGGCGTGTTCCTTTTGCCGCCATGAGTCGTTCGAGTGCTTGTCAACTTCATTTCCTCTTATATGATGCGCAATGCCGGTGTTTTCCTGCCAAGTAAGCTAGAAAAAAGCTCGGTACAGACCCTACAGGCGACGTTTTACTGCTCCTTTGTGTGATGTCATATCAATATTTCTGCACGTGTCCAGGTGGTGCGTCATGCGGAGTGCGGTGCGGCGCCCACTTTTACCCCGTTTTGGCACCCCCCCCCCAAAAAAAGTATTCGGCTAGTCGAGTTTGTCTACGACGATTGTGCAAACGCACTTTTAATGTTTTGTTTATCTTTGTTTACCTTTTTCCTTTTTATTTCTCTTTTTTTTTTTTTGCTGCCTGATTTTATGCTTTTTTTTTCTTACTTGGCTTTTTTTTTTATGGATGAAGAGGTTCTTTTTACACGTCCCGCTCTTTCACTTTTCTCTTATTTTTTTGTTTTTATTATTTTTCCATTCCGTCGTTTGTGCTGCCAAAGTCGCGGCAACGTGGGCGCACAAGAGGAGGCACCTGCGGTTCTTATTGACTACACTTTATTGAGGCATTTAGCAGCCCTTGGTTGCTCCCTATGGTAAGCTCCCGTTTGTCATGATCAACGATATTAGGAGAGATGCACGGAAATCTCAGCTGGAGCCTAAGTTAACATACTTCTATTTATCGAATTATCGATACAATTAACTATTTTACGATCCCCTTGAATACAATATATCCAAAACAACTGTTTCTTACTTTTATTTTGGTGCAAGCTCACCACATTAAACATTTAGCTTTCTCAGTCATTCATAATTTCTTCACCTGTCATCTGGGACAATATTCTTTCTATATTCATGCACCTAAAGATATCATTTTCTAACCACTGAATTTCCTTTTATCGTGCACGACACGCATTTCCTCGTGCGGGACCTTTCCCTACCAAAGAGGAACACGAGATGTTCGTGGCAGCAGTACGGTGCCTAGGAACTATTTCGGACCGGTGCGGACCGGACCGGAAGCGGTAACAAACGACTTCGTAGGAGCAGGCGCGTCGCGTCGTCGGGCGTCGCGATCCTGGCAGTGGACCGAAGGAGCTCCGGCAAAACGTAGGACCAAATGCAAGTGCCACCGGTGTCGCGGCATCCCAACCCCAGGCTAACATCGTAACCCCAGGCTGGCATCCCAACCCCAGGCCGGCATCCCAACCCCAGCCTGGCATCCCAACCCCAGCCTGGCATCCCAACCCCAGCCTGGCATCCCAACCCCAGCCTGGCATCCCAACCCCAGGCTAGATCTTCTGTGGACCGTCGGGCCGCAGAGCAACCTGTAGCAGAGCGGGCGCCTGCAGCGTCCACTTCGGCTGCCGGGCTGGCAACGGGGTCACACAGGCACAACGCCGGCGGGACATCACTAGACGAAAATCCAGGGGCTAGATTCGAGGCCGCAACTGGGGGAGATGCGGCGGGAAGGAGGAGTTACCGGTGTGCAGGTCCTGTGCCAGTGCCTGGCGGGACTGGGTGTCCAGGCTGTGGGTGTGGGTGATGAGGGTGTGGGGGGGCACCAGCAAGGCCCGGTTGGCATTCAAGTCCTCCTGGGCACAGCTTCGCAGGCTCTCCAGCAGGGCCTCACGGGGGTCCCCGGAAGGGGAAGGCTGCACGCCACTCTCCTGCAAGGCAGGAGGACGGGGCACAGTCACGCCGAGTCGCCCAACAACGGCAGCAATGGGTCCCTCGGGGATGTTCCAACGTCCAAGTAACATATTTCCTGGCATACAGGTCGCTTTTTTTTTTTTGTTACGAATTTCTGTTAGTGTTTTCTATAGGATGGTCACTCCGCTCGACCTGCTCAGAAAAAAGTTACTAAAGAACGATTGAGCTTTGCCTTTAAGAGTGGAATGCGATAGCTAAGCAAATAAACCCCCACTCATTCCCAAGCCGTGGAAGCTTGTCTGTGTGGTTTAGTCGGTAGCGTATCTCGCTCACAACCAAAGGGCTGGGGGTTCAAATCCCACTTCCACCTAAAAGTCTTCAAATTTTTTCATTAATGCAAATGAATTACTTTATAAAGCAAAATCATTTCAGAGATGCAGCGACCTTTAATTAAAATTACATGTCATGTTTAATCGATTTCATTCCACACGTGAGCATTGTGGGTTGTTTGAAATCCCCGTGTAAGGTCATGTGACTATGACGTCATGACTCTATCAACTAATCAGGATTTTCCAATCCCACCGACACTGAAGCCGGCTTCTCTGCAACACAAGCTCCTAAACACAATCACGTTAAAACTGCCGCTGCTTCGTGTCTGGCCTGGACCTGGCCCGCGGGCCAGGCTCGGGTTTTGGGGTCTTTCAGAAGGGGCGGACGAGGAGGCAGAATGTGGAGTCCACAAAGTCGACGATGCGCTGTAACAGCGATCTGCCAGCCTCATGTAAAAATTGGCCGCCTCACAAGAGTACCAGCTGCGCAGGTAGTCTCGGGGTGAAGTCTTCCCGATGGGGGAAGATTCCGGCTAGAATTACTGAATAAGCTACGCTTCACACTAAGGGCACTTTAGCCATTAGTCATTTTCTGTTTTAAAATGCTTCAGTGGCTCTGGTTCGGTGGCTCTAGCCGGAATCCTTCCCATGGGAAAACATTCCAGCTAGAGCCACTGAATAAGCTATGCTTCACACTAAGGACGATCTAGCCATTAGTCATTTTCTGGTTTAAATCATCATTGCCACTTGCACGAAGCTCGATCCAAAATCGCTGGAACTGCTTCCCTGTCCGGTGCAAACCGACACCGTCCGTTCGAACATCCCGGCACCACAATGACAGTGCAGGAGGTCACACATCAAAATCATCGCCCGTCTCCAATCTTGCCCACACTCGCAACAATGGCCGCACCCCCGGGACGGTCGGGGAATGAAGTGCCCCAAGGCGTGGCTCGTCTGCCAACTCAACTCTAACGTGAGCCCGGGGAGACGCTCACCGGGGGGTCTGCTACCTCCGAGATGTTCTCCAGGGAGCTCATCTCGCTGCTGGGGCTGCTCATGCTCTCGTGGCTCAAGCGCACCGCTTCAGGGCTCCTGGCGCCAGCTGCGCTGTGCTGCACACAGGTGAGAGGGTGAGCGGGTCATGGTACCAAGTTAGCGCTGTTCCCGCCACATTTACCAGCTTGCGACAGCATCTAACGGGAGAAATCCCCGCTTGGATGGTGGCAGAATTTCAAGCCTTTTTCGAGTCGCATTAGCCTTCTTTTCTGGAGGTCTAAGCTGTCCCATAGTTCCCAGTTATCGATCCTAAAAAGCTTAAATTCCATCGTAAGTTGTCATCTTTGCCTCCTCTCAACAAATTCGTCGTCACTGAGAGCAATGCTTGCAACCCCACTAGAGTATTACGATGGCAAACATTAAAACGCGCTTCAAACTGATCTTCGAGCGAATGTACGAAGGCATTTTTGACTTTGAAACCGATTAGTAGTTCCGAAAGACATTGGACGAGTTGGATGCCTCACCTGGAAAATAGGATGTTCTGCAAAGTATGTCAATTTAGTCGCCGAAGCTTTGCACTGCCACCAAACGTCGCAGAAAAGATTGGGATCAAGGTGTAGACTGGCAGAAATGGCAACACACCTGACAACATCAAGATGATATGACAGACATTACTCTGTTTGGAAGCATTTGGAGTAAACCCTTCTTGGACCAGGTATACGTATTCTATGAAGAGTTGCCGACTGTCGTGAAATCGCGACATATGCCCCAACGCTCTGTTGATGCCTTGCTCCACCAGTTGGCGGCATAGTATACTTTGTGCCAGAATGAACTTTCGCCGGCGAACTACGTTATTGAGCATGTGGTACACCGATTTTCGGCCGTTGCGTCATTGACACACAAAAGGAAATTAGGTTTTCAAATTTATAAAATGTCTGTGGTCCTAACGAACTGTATCAGGTGCACTTCACATAAATTTTGAGCGTTCCAATGAAGAAAAATGCTATGCTGGCTTCGTCACGACATTCGGCATTCAGTGACAAGCATGTCGCGTTATGAGTGACTTCGACAAAAACACTTGTTAGCTTGTAAATTAATTTCCATTAAAAATTGGGGGACACCATCAAGCTCTCTCTAATCTCATCTCAAAATAAAGGAACTTTGTGGTCCCGCTAAGCAGTTCTCAGACCAAGTCGTCCGTCTGGATAGTACGAGAGAGTCGGGGAAGGACACAAGACATCAGCACAAAAAAAATGTCGCAAAAAACAGGCTGTCATAATGTGTAGCAAATTCAACGTTCATCCTTGCTTGAACAAGCATTTGTCTTCACGAATTTTCCCAGACATGAAGCTCGAGCCATTAGATGATTTCAGCACTTGGCCAGTTTCATTTTAATGGATAACAATCATTCTCTCATTCCATAAATTGTATACTTGTTTTTGTACATTGATTTCTGAGGGAAAATTAAATACTAGGCATGCGGCACAGAAAAATTAGTTACACTGTGGCCTGTTGTTGCGAATTAGTGACATACACCACTTAGGAAATGCCGTTCTCGTCACAATCGCCGATGTGGCAGCCTTTTTTGGGAAACCTTAAAGGGGCCCTGACACATCAAAATCGTAATTTATTTTATTATCCGAAACGATTGAAAATGATGCCGGGACATTACCCTCAAAATTCGAAACTTGGGAATTCAGTATTTGTGAATTAAAAAAACAATCTCCAAATGCCGAATTTGAAGTTCCCGCGCGATCCGCGCCAGCGCAGTGAGTCAAATTTTGCGGTCTCCTGCGACTCGACTTTCTTTCGGACCTCCGCACCACGCTGTGAAGCAAAGCGCCCTTGCTACCGCGACCCGAAGAGAGGAGGAGGTGAGCAGGCGGGATAGAAGGGAGCCGACGCGGGAAAAAACCGGTCTTCCCCGACTCGGCGATAAGCCTCTGCTTGAGCGCCGCCAAGGTTTCCGAGGGAGAACACAAATTCAGGAAGCGACATCACACCGAAATCTGATTTTTGGTATTTCAAAAAGAAAGGCCGTAGTGCGTTCGTCATTGCGTTAAAAAACATGTTTTACGACTGCCGTTATTAAATGTTATAGAAATGTCGCCTACAAAGCTTCCAAATTTCCTGATTTTTGACGTCACCGATCAAAAGAAGCAAGGAAGTTAGCGCGGGAATTATAAACGCCAAAAATAAAAAGGCGCGCGCGAGCGCGGGGAAATCTTTTTCGCAATGCGATTTTTTTTGCGTGTCTATGACTACAACTTGCATCGTTTTAGACAATAAAAAAGAATACGACCTTTGGGGTGTCAGTGCCCCTTTAAGCAGCACTTTACGAAATCTTTTTACGTGATCTATGAAAAGTTTTGATATGAAAGGGGGGGTTGAAAGAGGAAACATCTCTTCCAAGGGTTCTTTTATTCATTGAATGAATACTTTTTCTAGAATAGTTATAGCAGTTAATTGTGCCAAAAGTAATCCTTTCCCCACATCTGAAATTGAGAGGTTTTAGCAGTTTGTTCTAGAATTCTTATTACAGGCTTCTGACTTTTGAGTTGGGCCATGGGTGGTGACACCCTCTGACCTTAGTAGACAACTGACACGCGACAAGCAGTTGCGTGGAACTGCGTGCGGTCAAATGAACAACATGGACGCAATTCTCATGGCAAGAGCTATAAAAATGACAGCTTCAACGTCCAGGAAGGGAAGGGTGAGACCACTGATCTCTATTGTAGTAGGCTGGATCGCGGACCGCGGCCTCGGCAGCTGGGGCCGAGTGTCGCCACCGGCGGCCATTGATTCACACCACCCAATGCATGGGACTCTATGGGAAGAACGAGAAAAAGTTGACGTTTTCCCCTGTTTCTAAGCTGTTGTCGGCACTGAACCTTTTTGGGTGCTTTTCGATAAGCCCACCAAATAGCTCGCATACAAACAATAAAAGTGACAGCCCTCGCAGTTCTTATAAATAAATATTTTGTGGTCGAGAGTGACTCCGCTGTAGTGCAGCCCAATGAGGCAGGAGTTACCTAGAGTTACCGCGGAGTCAGTGGCGGTTTCGTTGAGTTGGGTTTAGCAGACGACGAGCTCGAAGGCTTTGCTACGCGGAATTCGCTCACTCCCGGAAAGCTGCTGTCGAGATGGAACTTCTTTGTCATTCATCAACTTCTGGGCTTCCCCGAGGATGGTCTCATTGACCGGCAAGTTGCTTTGTTTACTCCACTACAAGATCAAGCTTGCCAGCTCAGCCGTTGGTGCTCCGGTACGTTTGATTTTTTTTATTCGGCGACCAGAGGTTTACAAATTACCGATTCGATCTCCAAACACCCGACATAAGGATTGCAGCGCAACATAAAATAGTCGCCTCCGAGCACAGCCTACATGCTTCAATATGCTTACTTTTGTGCGTTTCTCCCATAGACTTGCGTGCATTGCCTGGTGTCAAGCAATGGCCGCCGGTGGCGACACCGACGGGCTCCCGATCCACGATCCAGCCTACTAAAATAGAGATCAGTGGGTGAGACACTCACGGGGCTGTTGTCGGGGGGCTGCCTCTGCTGCCGCAGCCGCTCCAGCTCCCTGGTCTTGAAGCGGTCCACGGCGTCGTCCAGGAATGTGTGCGAGCTCTGCTTGCACGAACCCTGCGCAAGAGAGAATGCCACCTTGGTCCCAAGCAGGTGCCTGTCGACGGGGGCACTCTCGACGCCACCTAGAAGACGAGGCCTGCTGCACCCTTCCTAACGGCGTCGCTAGGTAATTCGAGCAGCACTGCCTAGCTTGTGTCTCTACCACCATCGGCCCCTCCTGTGGCGTCTCGCAACGAGCATGACACTAGCGAGCAGAGCCAAGACGGATGCATCTGCTGTAGTCTGGCGCTTTGCGGCGCACTCTCGTCAAGCTCCAACAAATTTCTGCTTGGTGCGGGTCGGGGACTTACTGATGACAATGTAATGCGCACGCTTTGTCCTCTAGGTAATGACGACTGTGACGAGACACAGGGGGAAGGGGGCGCACGCCGCTGTCCGCGGAAGGGGCATCCAGAGGAGTGTTGCCAATTTAGCAGTTTTTATGCTAAAATTAGCAGTTTTAGCGTTGTCTGGTGGTGGAAATTGTTGTTTTGCAGTAGTTGTCATGTCATGTCGGCATTCTTTCTGGAGCTCTATGTTTTATAGCTTACATTTATTTATCGTAAACGGCGCAAGTTTGGCAAGTTACCCGACGTAAATAGTTTGGGTTCAGTGCGTTAAAGCTGTAGAGTCGTCATCTCTGTAAAGGTAAATGTTGGAGAGCACTTCGAACAGATTCGTGCATCAGAGTTTCATCTGCCATATGAAATTCAACCAGTGAAGCGTGAGCAAAACTTCAGCTAAATAGGAGGGCTACAGGATCTTAAACTCTCAGCCTGGTTACTGGAAGCGACATCAGTCAAGTCACGCACCACTACTGCAAAATAGAACTTGCTGCATGGCGCGTGAGCTTGACCGCCAACATTTTTAACTGCCCCCAAATGTAGTGCAAAATATAGAAATGATTGTGTACGTCGGCAGGTATGGCAACACACCTGGCAACAGCAACATGAAGAAGTGGACATCACTCTGTGCGTGAAAGTGGTTTGAGTCAAACCCAACAGCTTCCTACTATGGGTTTTCCCGTCTATTACATAATTTCAAGATTAATTATAGCAATAAACTGCAGCAACATGTCATCCTTGCCCCACATGTAAAATTTAGCAGCTTTAAAGGTTTTAGTTTCTATTGTGGGGTTTTGATTTCCGAGTTGGCAAGACAGGTCCAGAGAGCACCGCAAGGCACAACCGCAGCAACCTTTGATGTCCTTCTGGGCGCCTGGTCTTCGAGTCTGCCCACGCGAGGCACACCGGAAGATTTGAGCTTTCTGGGCTGCATCCTGCCTAACATATTTGCAACGACTGAACGGATAGCCGGGCAAGTCGGCACGTATTTGTATTGACATAGCGTGACTGAACACGGACGAAGCGAGAAACCAGACGGAACAAACGGCAACTAACCAACTGTCGTTATTTTTATTTTTTTTTAAGCAAATATTTGGCACACTTTTTGTGTGGCCTCTGGGGATGTTGTCCAAATTTGCCCGAGTTTCAAGGACGGCAAGAAAACGGAAAAAAACGTTTTCACAAAAAAGCTCCAGAATGAACGCCCAGTGCGATCCCAAACAATCTGCATGTTCTGCATCTCCAGACTTTAACCCTAGGACCTCTACCCAAATTGTGTTCCGCAAAATAAATACTGCACCAAATTTGCGTTTTTTTTTTCATGAAAAATTAATTTTGTGACATACGTGACCCATCTAGACACTCCAAAAAATTTTCATTTCAGTGTCCGTTCAAAATTTCTTTTCCAGGAGTCTAGCGTCCCCCAAAACCCACAATGAAGGCTTGATCGTGGCGCTTGGAACGCATCTCACAACGTCCAAAAAAGTGGTCCCTCGACTTCTGCCCGACAACGTCATAGAAGTGTCAAACTATCGCCGGCTGCAATCCTGGCAGCGTAACAGCAGCAGCAATGGATGTGGCAGACGACCGTCCTGCTGCGGGTCGCTCTCCATCTCTACGGCCCACGGAAGCTTCGGCAGCCGGAAGTTAAACCCCACGACGATGATGGCGACCCTCGCATTGATTCGTGTTTTTTGCCGGCACATTTACACCCTGCTGCCAGGAGCATGACATCCAACAGTGTGACACTCCAGCTCTTCGATGCATGGACAGGACGGGATCACAATCAATACAAAAATGTTCCTTTGTATATCTGTCGTTCTACTTCATTTTCCCAAGGAAATATTTCCCTAACCAACATCCAGTTGCGATATTAAAAAAAAACACGTAGTGGTGCGGCCTTAAACGACACCAGTAAGAGACAGGTTCGAGGCACCATAGTGGGATGAAGGGACGAGCGAGGCGGCAGGGAGGCACCCACCTTGAGCCGGCCGACGTAGAGCACCTCGAACTGGTGGGCGTTGCTGAGGAAGGCGTCCAGGCCCGAGGAGCTGCCCACTCGCACCAGTCCCCCGTGGGAGGAGCTCTCCTTGCTCACCTCCCGCACCGTCACAAACAGCTCGACCACCTGCGAAGTGTAAGGGGAAAGCTCACTCCGGAACACATCCAGGTCCACAGTCAGATGCCACTTAGTCCTTCCTGACCATAAACAAAAATGCCTGTTTTGTGCAGATTTTTGTTCCGTTTCTTTCATTCCTGAGAAGTCTATTACGTTTACGATGTGATGTCATACATAGAAATGAAGCTAGATAAATGGGCATTTGAGGGATGCAAACGTTAAAGCAGAAACTTGGATCAACGCAATATTTAATTTGCCAAACACAATTGTTTTCTCCTTAAATTGGTTCAGGCCGGGTGAAGATGGGGCTATATCTAAGAAAAGATAGAAAACACCAAACGAATTTGGATATACGGTACATACAATGTTTCTCGTTTTCCCAGCAAAAAAGCTCTGCAAAAACCAGAGTTCTATCTCAAACAACATTCTGATCTCCCAAAAGTCAAGTCAACCTTCATGACTGACATGCCATTGGGGTAAGCAGTTTCCAATGTGGTGAAGCAGACGTCATCAAAAGTGAATTACAATGATCTGGCTTCACCATCAGACCCAGTCAGTTTTTCGGATCCGAATGCGAAAAACTGAGGGAAAATTCATTAAAATTACTGTCGAGACCGGCTATAACGAAGTTAACGGGATTCGGAAATCACTTCGCTATATCCGCCATTTCGTTATAACCGACTTCGGTTATAACAAAGTGCAAAAGGAAATGGGAAATCGTGATGCTTCACTGTAGCCGCTATTTCGTTATAATCGACTTCGTTATAACCAGTCTCTGCAGTACCACAAATAACAATCTGCCGTCGGTTTCATTCTCGGCCACTGATCTCTACATCAATCTGCTGAATCTCACATCCCCACTTGGTCGCTGCAGCGCAAGTGCGGCCACCGGATGGCCCTCTTGGGACACGGAAAATGAACCTTTTGGAGTGTTGCGGAAACTGGGCAGCAGCATGTTAAAGACACGTTTGTCGTCATTCACCAAAGAAGTTTGTCAAAACCCCGTGTAAATGGTGAAAATTGCCTTTGAGAACACATGAAAATTTTTACAAAAGCGCAGTACAACAGAAAAAAGACGCAACTCGTCAAATGCAAGTCTCGCCGGTCTCGCGGTGTGATGGAAGTTTCCTTGGCACACCGAAGTGCTGCGTCTCTGCCTTCACAAGTTTGGATACCGATTAAGAATTGACGATGTGTGGATTTGTTTCGCGGGTGCAATGTGCATGAAGACGTATCTGCTGGTGGTGCAGCATTTTACTTTACTCTTACAAATTTATTTGAAACTTGTGGCATTCACGGTCCAGAAACAAGCTTGATCTAGTGGCGACGGAAGAAGGGTAGGGGGATACAGCAATGGCGACAGATTGCACACGATCATATGAGCCGCGTTTAAAAAGTTTCTATCTCGCCGTTTAATACTTTTGCGTTGGGAAACCCACCTTCCTCCACAGCGTTGCTCTATTTGTGCTGTCATGTGATCCATTTGAGTAGATTTGAAGCACTAATCTTTTTCCTTTATTGAAAGCAATTCGCTGGAACAGCTGAGCAATCCAGAACACCGGAACAGCTGTTCGATCCAGAAGACATCCAAGCACGACACACCTTCAAAACTTTGTCACGTCGTTGATTCTTCATAAGTATCCAAGAGTTCGAACGCACAAAGACACAGCACTTAGATCTGCCAAGGAGGCTTTGACAACACCGCGAGACCGGCGAGACTTGTGTTCGACGAGTAGTGCCTTTTCCTGTGGTGCTGCGCTTTCATAAACATTTTCGCGCGTTCTCAAAGGCAATTCTCACCGTTTACACAAGGTTTCTAAAAACGCCTCTGCCAAATGACGACAAACGTGCAGAAAACGTGTCCTCAGCACGCTGCCGCTCAGCATCCGCAATGCTCCAAAAGGTTGATTTCCTGTGTCCCATGATAGCCGTCCAGTGGAGTCGTTAGATGTTTAGATAGCAGCTAGAGTTTAGTCTGCCAGAGTGCGACGACTTTGTTATTCGCTGAAGATGAAAAATTTAGCCAGTGTAGTACGACTGCTAGCGTGGGGTCTTTAACCTGCATGACGCAGTAGAGAACCCGTGATAGTGATACACGACCATACACCGGTACGACGTTCATGCAGACCGAGATGGGCAGGGGCGGGGATAGGACCCAGGATCCCTGGGATCTGCAGCACAAGCTTTCTCTCCACGTGCTCAGAGCTGCAGTGCGTTAGCAGACTGTTTTCAAAGGTCCATCAAGCAGCATTGGCGGTCGCCATTGCTTGGACACGAAGTGCTTGATTGGATTGATTGGATTCATTGATTGGATTCGAGTCCTCGCCAAACACTGACGCAGCGCTCGTTTTCAATACAAGCCGAGCCGAGTTCACGCCAAACCCTGACGCAGGCCTCCTGCTCAATACATGGTCAGACTATGTGATGAAGCAATGACGGAGTGGTGCTGGCACTGACAGTTAAAAAGGGTCTACTATTAGCACATTGGACCAGCAATCCTCCCTTGTTTGCAACATATTGTGCCTTCACTCAAAGTTTTGAAACTATGTATATGGGTTGTCAAAGAAGTAGAAACCGATGTAATTATGACTTTGATAGCATATATTTTTTCTATTTTTTTTGCAAAGTAACATTGGTTCATTTGCAAAACATTGGCACCGAATCTAATCTTGAGGAAGTCACACTTTTCAATCATGACGATCGGTAGTTGCGTCTGCTCTGCATACGAGCCAAAATGGCGGCACCCACAACAATGTCGGGGAACGCAGTGCCGATACTCTAAGCGCAGCTCATTTAGTGGCTCTAGTTCAACCAATAAACCTTTTTGTGTATGCTGGGCGGAGGACATTCCCAGCTGTAGAGTTTGACTGATATGTTCAACAATAAATGTTGCTATACTGTCACACTGTTTCATTGTTTTTCGGGTCGCCCATTTGCCTTTGTCACAATAGACGCATACTTAGGTTAGAATTAAAACAAGAGTGTTTAAACGGTGTTGTACATGTTACTTCTTAAAGGCAACGAAATACTGTTATTCGTTACTTGACCTTTTAAGTAACTAAGTATGTGACTCATTCCTTTTCTAAAAAAAACTAAATATGTTACTCATTACCGAAAAAAGTACCTAGGTAGAAGGAACTCGGTGCTAGTAATACGTCACATACTTGTCTGGTTACATGTATGTATTTCTTAACTGGCATCATAAACCTGCAACGTCGGAACTGTTTTGCGGTTCAGAGTTCAGACTGACCATTGCTTGGCATTTTGCGGAACCGCGTCGCAGTTGCGATTCGAACGGCAGTCTGAATCCACCTTTATGCTGCATTCACACTGGTGTTCGGATCGCAACCGCAAAGGCGATCCTCTCGTTTTCGTCATCAAATGCCCGTGAATTTGTAGTAGATATTTAAGCGGCCGCACTCGCAACCAGTTTCACAAATATAATTCTACCGCCAGTGTGAATACGGAGTTAGAGTGGATTCAATAAAGAGGACCGATAAAAAAAAAAAGCACAATCGAACATTCAACAATAATATGTTTGTTTATTTTAAAATTTTTGTTTAGTTTTGTTGGACATTTTATGGGGTGGTGGGTGGTGCATTTGCAAAATAATTGAAAATAAGATAATCTAGACTAAAATATTAAAACCACTATTTAGTTTAATAAGTGACAGGATGTAATATGTTTATTCAGGTCCAAAGCAGTACTGAGCCAAGGTTAGACACGAGACAGGAGTGCAATAATACACAATCACAATCAATAGGTGAATGGTGTTGAACCATAATCTGATTTGCCGTTCATCTTGATTCCCGTACCATTTGGAGGAAACATGAGCATGCGCTCGTGCAATTGATGCAGCAGAAGACCTGTAGCTCTTCTGGTACATTTAGTATTTTCAATTTACGTGTTTTCTTTTGAGATAAAAATAAGCAGGATTATGCTTTGTCAAGTGCCTCTCTTGGTGTTATTTTTATTGCTGTGCATAGCGAAAACTATTGGGAGTCTGGATCAACGAAGGAAAGAAATACCTAGAGGAATATGAGGGACATATAATAGGTAAGAGTAAAAGGAATTCGGCCATTATGAAGCACAAGGTGCCATGAAACTCTAATGCATATGAAGTGGTACAGGGAGTATGAAAAAGAGTAATGATACCAAGATTGACCTTTGGGAACACAGACTTGTGCAGGAGTTTGGAAGTTCAGGCGAGATTGGAGATAGGACAAAGCAGCGTTGGCAGGATAGCTCAAGGGGCACATGGGAACACTCCAAATGAGGGAGTGCAGGGTGATATGGGCTGGTCATCGCTTCAGACCAGATGATGATGTTTGGGTTCAATGGCGCAAGAGCATCTTTGGCCATATTGTGCCAAGAAGGGCTTGAGACCGGAGAGGCAGTGAGCAAAATCAATTCTGACCAGACTAACAGACATGGAGAACAAAATGGTGGGCGAATAGAATCTTTAAATACCTGTATATGAGGAGTTTGGGCACGAAATGGATGAAAGGGACATGAAGGCTTTGAGTGAAATTCCTGCGTTCGGTGCAGTGGCGTAGCTAGGCCATCTGGCACCTGGGGCCCTTATGTAGCCTCTGACACTGAATATATACAATATTGTGTTCCTCAAGGATCCATATTAGGACCTATATTGTTTCTTCTCTATATTAATTACATTGTTTCCATCCCATAAACTCTAGACATTGTCCTCTGTGCAGATAAGACAAATGTTTTTTTTCATCCAGAAATTTATCATTTATTACTGTCATAAATATATGCCTAAAAAATCCACCCAAACGGCTTGACGCCAATCAGCTTCATCCAGACGTTAACAAAACATATTGTTTTCTCTTCCATTAATAGATTCATTAATCTTACTAGTTCCTCGATATTTCAATCACAATCATTATAATGGGTTTCTGATTACAGCTTTTATGGAGTAGTTTAATGAAAACCTTTGTTAGAGGTTACATATAAGTCGTGTGAAACATATCGCACAATCTGTATGCATG